TCAAAATTCAGATGCTTGGCAATGGACATGTATTTACAACAGTTGCATGTTTTGGGGTCATGTGATCATTATTTGTGATCTTCCCAACCAGCTTCTGACAAGCAAAGACTACGGGAAAGCCAGATTCCTTTAACAATCACATGGTTTGCTTAATAATTGCAATGATTTGCTTACGGTGGCAAAAGATCATAAAATTAGGTGTGACTCACTTAACCACCTTGCTTAGCCCCAGAATTCTGGTCCTAATTGTGGCTGTAAGTTGAGGACTATCTGTATCCCTAACCTGTTTAATTCAAATCTCCCAACAGTGCACTGATTGCTACTCTAAAATGAATTCATCTGCCTCGCTGCTGGTTATCGTCTTCTCTTTTCTTGCACCTTTCCCAGCATTAGAGCCTTTTCCAAAGAGTTGGGTCTTTGTATAATGTGTCTAAAATAGGATAAGAGGAGCCATTCCTGCTTTGTTATATAGTCAGTTTATTCATTACTGAGTTACAAAAAGTTTAAAGAAGTTATTACAGTCTAAATATTCTGCCTCTAACTGTATTAAATCTAAGGAAACTTTTAACTTGTTTCATTCACCCTGCAACACAGCAGCAGCTCCTAAACCAAGTAGAGTGCCAAATGAGCTTGTAATTAATTTGTAATTAATGTGTTAATTTAGATTCCAGCACTTAGGGGAAGGTTGGAGTCAGTGGCACGAGTGCAGACTTCTGCTTTTATCAATGTGTGTTCTTGGCTTTTACCCAGTTGGAGAAATCTACTCTAATTGTAACTTGGATGTCATTGGATCAGATTAAACAGAAGACAGTGAGGGCTTAATTCTCCAGAAAGCATCATCAATCACATTGGGGAAATATGCAGGGTTTGGAAAGAGGAGAATTTGATCCTTCTTCCCACTTTCACTTCAGCTAGACTTTCACTGCTGTTTCCAACCTCTGGAGGAAAAAGCAGCTTCTTTAGTATTACTGCCTATAAATCCCTACCTTAGATATTACTTTTAGCTTTGTGCAAATGTATGGGCAGCAGACTTCGGGGGGGGGGGGGGGGCTGATGGCAGTCCGTCCACGGATTCTCTTGCTAAACAAGTACATTTGCTGGAAAGAGAGAAATGTGTTTCAGCCTCCATTGGTGCTCTTTAGGGCTAACACTAGTACTGGTGAAACAATCAAGAGTTATTGATTGGAAAATGCCTGTAAAATCATAGGGACATAACTTTGTCTAGTTTTATATGAGTTATGTTGCACAAGGCTGCACAAGCAGTGAGCTCTTGGTCGGATGAGTGGCGTTATTTTGATATTTGGCTCTACGTTATAAGAAAGTTGGAAATCATGAGTTCTCGAAGCATAGGATAAAGTGAAAAGACTATATAACTTTATCTTTTGGCTGTTTGGAGTGTGTTTCTCTGCCAAATCCAATTCTTCCATTGGAGAACTTGAGGAATGGGAGAACTTGGATTGCGGTCAGCATCTTTAAGTTTTGGTTGTTAACCAAATATAAAGCCTAAGTGCTGGGCTAGAGTGAATCTGGGGCCTTGTAAAGTGGAATGCTGATTTGTGTTTGAGTGTTGCCTTTGGGGCACTCACTGGAAGTTGCTGTGGCTTTATGTTTTTTCATTATTTTGGGGGCAACTCAGCTTATGGTAAGAAGAGGGAGCCATAGAAGTTTACTTTAGAAATAAACACTGATTATAAAGTACAGTACCGATTTCTCTTAATGCTACCCACCATCCCTCTTTGTCACTCTACAATCACTACAATTGTTTTTATTTTTTAGGAAAGTTTATAAGAGCTGTTTGATGTAAAGAACCGTTATTGGACTTTGCTTTGGCCCTTCAATTGTCACTAGATGACAGTTTCCCATTTTATTTATTGTTGTAGATTCAGGTAGGGCAGAGAGCTTGGGAAACACCAAGTGAGATATTTACAGTCACATTGGCTACCCTGTCCATGTTGTTGGGGGGGGGGGGTCCTAGCAATAGAAGACCCAGAGCCAGTTGGTCACAGTTTCTTCTTTTCTGTGCACTGTAAGGGGAAAGAATAGTTTGGTCTTTATGTACAGTACATTGACAAAAGCAAGCAAGAGGAAGAGAGATCATCTTTTTGGACAGTTTTCTCCTCCCTCCTTCCTTATACTATCAGATACTAAAAGTTGTTTTGAAAAGCACACACCGGAAATTCTATGGTGTTAGCGGCTTGGTGATATTTTCCCAGAAGTTTCAGATTTGAGCAAGAGATCTGAAAGTTCTGTTTTTAGTTCCTTTTATGTACTCTGTATTAGACATCTTATCACTCCAGCTGCAAATTTCAATTTTATACATGTATTTTCCTTCTTCCGTTTAGCTTCACTTTTATCACACACCACCTGCACTATTTCCCATGGTTCCTGCCTTTCATGAGCTTTGAGGGGGAAACCAGCAATTTTTGGTTTGAGATGAGTTGTTTGCCAGGGGCTAATTTCACCTAATAACAACAATATACCTTATCTTCCACCCAGCACTTCCACCAAGTATTCCCTGCTATTAAATGCCAAGGGGTTCCATAGCAAGGCTCTCCTCGTCCGAGATCTGGATAACTCAGATGTGAGTGTTCCCATCTCTGAGATGTGCTATGAGGAAAAAAGGAGCGTAGCTGCACTTTGGAAAATACTGATTGGACTAACTCTGCCAGGCAGAAACAGCCACCCCATTCCAAGGCTACATTCAGCTCACCCCTCCATATCAGAATTAGTTATGAGGTTCTGGCTCTACCAGGAAACCTGAGGGAGAAGCACTTAATCTATCCCTCCCCTACAGCCTGCTTAGCGAGGCAGAATGACCAGCAGAGATTTTCCCCTACAGCAGTGGTTCTCAACCTTTTTAATACCGCGACCCCCAACCGGTCATAAGTCGAGGATTACTCAACCGGTCGTAAGTCGAGGACTACTCAACTGGTGCAGCACCGTTTGCAGAATGGGACTTTTGGCGGGCTCAGCAGGGCAGAGGCAGCCTGGACAATTCCTATTGGCTTTTGAAAGCCAATAGAATTAGACTCTATTCAAGAGAGTCTATTCTATTGGCTTTCAAAAGCCAATAGAATAAAAGAGAGTAGCACAGGTAAGGAAAAGGGGAAAAAAATGGCGGACTGCGTTGTTTGACGACCCCCGTGAAATGGTCGTTCGACCCCAAATGGGGTCCCGACCCACAGGTTGAGAACCACTGCCCTACAGACTCCCACAATGATATTTCAGCTAGCCAGTTGTCCACACCAAGCTGTTTGACTGGCATAACAGCCTCCACAGCTGGCTAATTGAGTGACACTCCGGCCTTTTCGAAAACATGCTGATGCCCATAGGTAGCCAGGTTAGCACACCTTACTCCTCTCAGGCCTTCAGCCTAGAAAAGGGGAATCAACCCAGAGAATACGTGACGAGCAGAAGAAGAAGAAGATGCATGACATAGATGAGGAAATGGGAAGTGACATCTGGGCAACAGCTACAGGTTATAAATAGGGCTGCCATCCAACTGCCAGGACCAGGACCAGGGGAAGCAGTCAACCTTGCTTTATCTCTCTGCCTGGAGCTCAGCTTGAGTGCTCAGCAGCAACATTTCTTAGAACAGACCTTGAAACCTAGCCAGGAACTCGGCAGCGAGTTTGCTATGCAACTGTATTTACAAAAAGTGTCGCTACGCTGAGGCAGCATATCCAATGAGTGCAAGAATTTTTGGATGGAGACGAGGACTCTATGTCACTTCAAGAACAGTAAGGATTGCTCTCCAAAGACTTGTTTATATGTGGCTAAGCCAACTCATAAGGACCAGGAGGAAGGAGTTAACCCTGCTCAGCCAAGGCAAAAGCTTTACATTGGAGAGAGTGTGTGGGGATATAATAAGGTGATGTGTAAAGTTTTCATCCAAGCTACGGTGTAGTAGTCTGTAGTTATTTACAGAATCCCAACTTTACACATATTTACTTGCTTTTTAGTTTGTCACCAGTCACAGTTTTAGAGCAGATGTAAGGCTGATGGTCTGCATTCCAGATGTTGGACCATCTATGGTGAAGTTGGACTCTAGAGACCATTTGGATTTTTAGCTGATACATCAGTTTTCCTAAAGAGGCTACTTGTCTCAGTTAACTGCATTTGCAATACAATCGAAAGATACAACAGCTCTCTGAGATTTTAACTTGCCTTCCTGTGGCATAGACCCTGGGATGGCTCAGGACTTTCTTCTGGCCACCCCTTGGTTGACCCAAGTTATTGAAACCCCAATGGGTTGTCACACCCTGGTTCTTCTCTCAGGCCATTTGCAACATGATATGACGTTGAGGACATTAACCTCAGTCCGAGTCATAAAATGTTATGGTTGCTTTTCAGTATGCCGGTGCTGCCTCTGCTTTCCCTTGCAAGGATGTAGTGTCAATTTGATCAGTCCACCCCAGGTGACCAGTGCTCCCAGTGGGGTTCAGAGGGAGCCTTTGTTTTCCTGAGAATCTAGTAGGCAATTTGACTGAGGGCAAAATTTCCAACTGAATGGATGGCCCTGGGTCTCACACACACACACACACACACACACACACACACACATATAGAGAGAGAGCGCCAGTTTGGTCGAGTGGTTAAGGCACCAGGCTAAAAAACAAGAGAACATGAGTTCAAGTCCCGCCATAGCCATGAAAGTCAGCTGAGTGACTTTGGGCCAGTTACTCTCTCAGATCAACCCACCTCACAGGATTGTTGTTGTTATGGGGAAAACAGGAGAAAGAAGGTGTGTTGGATATGTTCACCACCTTAAGTTATTTCTAAAAATAATAAAAGCAAGATACAAATAAATAAATATTATTTTTTGTTTCTTTTTAGTTATTGTATTTGTTTTTCGTCTGTGTTTCACCAAGAATATGTATTCTGAATAAGGAGACATTATTTCTCAGAATTATTGTGAAGAATATCAAGACGGTTTAAAATGTATTATAAATATTGAGATACAGCTATCAATAATATAATGTTCTTGGTTTTTTTTTCAGGGTTTTGACCCACCACATCAGAGTGATAATCGAACTATTTATATTGCAAATCGTTTCCCCCAGCATGGCCATTATGTTCCTCAGAAGTTTGCAGAAAACAGAATAATCTCCTCTAAGGTATGGGAAATTTTAACATCTATATGTATGCTTGGTAGAGTGCCATAGTTAAAGATAAATTTTAGTTAGATACATCAGATTTTTTTTAAAACAACAACAACTCTCAAATGTGCATCTGAATAGGATTAGGGCAGGGTTCCCCAACCCCCGGTCCGCAGACCGGTATTGGGCTGCGGCCACTTAAGAACTGGGCTGTTCAGCCGGAGGTGCGCTGAAAGCGCGTCTTCCACCTCCAGGAATGCTGAAAGTCTGCAGCGGTCTGGGCAGGGGCGGGAGAGTGGCAGGGCAGAAGCCGTCTTGCTCAGTGCAAGGTTCTCCCGACGGGTGCACTTACAATGTGTTTGCAATATCTGAGCTCCACATCCTTCATTCTGGCCCCTCCTCCTGCTTCTTCTGCCTCCTCCTCTTCCTGGTCCTGCTCCCTCTTCCTCCTGCTGCTACTTTTTCCTTCTCCTCTTTCTCTCTCTCTCTCTCTCTCTCTCTCTCTCTCTCTCTCTCTCTCCCTCCCTCCCTCCCTCCCTCCCTCCCTCCCTCCCTCCCTCCCTCCCTCCCCCCTCTCCCTCATGATTTTCTCAGTACTTCCTCAACATGCTGGGTCTTTGGTTTGTATTGCTGGAAGGCTGAATTTAGGATTGTCTCTTTTCCTCCCCACTTCCTTAGAACTGGTCTAGTCTAATACAATAATAAGTGGATTATTTATTTGTTTGTTTGTTTAGAAAATTTACAATAAATGTAATGCACTTGAATCATCCTGAAACCTCCCCCCCCCACCCCGCCCCGGTCCATGGAAAAACTGTCTTCCATGAAGCCAGTCCCTGGTGCCAAAAAGGTTGGGGACCTCTGGATTAGGGCATTTTATGAGCCATACTATCAAACTGGTCCATTCATATATCATTACAGAATTTTTTTTTGTGATGCATCTTATTTCAAAATCTTGCCTCACTAAAAAAGTTCTAAAAACTGTAACAGGTGAGTATATTTTAGGCTTTATAAACAACTTGCACAAAAGCAACGTGATTCCAATTTTCAGTTCTAGGTATGATTTGAATCAATATTACACTCTCCAGATATTTTATGTATTTTATGTATTCCAAATGTGATATCACTTATCAAGAATTCATACTGTAGGTTTGTGATTTTTATTTTTGATTAGAAACAAAGTCAAATTAAGCAAATGGCTTAATTTCGGCTTAATTATATTCAGGTTCTCAACTTTGACCACAATTTGGACTGGAATTTTGGTCACGAAGTGATGTGCTAATTAAGGGAGTCATCACATGAAGGACCCAATTTTATAACCATTTTTACCAAAATTGTTAAGCAAGTCACGTGGCATAGGTGAATCACACAATTGTTAAGTGAATCTGTCTTCCCCAATTGACTTTGCTTGTCAGACATTGACTGGGAATGTCACAAATTGCAATCACGTTGACCACAAGATGCTACAACTATCAAAGATGGTCCAGTTGCTAAGCACTCAAATTGCAATCGTGTGACTACAGGGTGGTTCAACGGTTATAATTGTGATGACAAGTCCTCAGCCACTTTTTCTAAGGCTGTCATAACTTCAAATCATCATTAAATGACCACTTATACGTTGAGGATTACCTGTAGGTGTTTGTGTTAACCTCCCTATTAATATAAACAAAGTTTATTTATTTACATTGTTTAAATACCACCGATTCCACAAAGACACTTAGCTGTTATAAAATTGAAAACAAAAAATGTTGAAACAATTAAAATTAGCAATGCAAGTTCACAAATTAATCTCAATAAAGCTCAGAGCACTGATTTTCGCTAGCATTTTCCCCTGTGGAAGTAGCGAACACCAGCATTTTGAAAGGCATTTGCTGTCTTTTTTTGCCAGAGGGAGGGAGGCCTGTTTCACTGAGGGATTTCCAGTAGCCAGCATTCTTACAGTTGTTCTCCTTGGTGGGGCGCGGAGAAGGCTCAGGACAAGCTGGGTGTGGTGGGAAGCCCAGGCAGGCATTCTCTCCAGCCCACCACACCTGGGAGGGCAGGACTCTCCCTCTCCAATGCTCCGCTTCGTGACTGCAAATGGGAGACTGTGATTGCAGTCATTGATAGAAGTGGTTGCATGGCATCAACCAATATCCCACACCTAGTTGTGCTTGTGGTGGAGGCAGTTGCAGTGCATTTATATGGTAAGCAGCTTCATAGACAATTCACTTTACAGGTTGTCCATCCGTTTAATGACTATTTAAAGTTAACAATGGCACTGAAAAAAAGTGACTTATAACCACTTATGACCATTGCAGCATCCCCATCAAACTTGGGGTGCTGCGATCAAACTTGGGGTGCTTTGCGACCAGCATGGTTGCAGCATTCTGGGGTTCTGGAATTGTTATCTGCAACCTTCCTAGGGAGTGTCTTGCAATGGGGGAAGCCAGGTTCCCATAATGAGTGCATGATCCACTTAACTGTAGTGATTTACTTAACCATGGCAAAAATGGCAAAATGGGGTATGACTCTCTTAACAACTGCCTTGCTTAGCAATTTTGGACTCAGTTGTGGTTGTAAGTTGAGGATAACCTATATTGTAATCAGAATGAAGCTTAGATGCTAGAAAACCCATTATCAGATGTAGGTTAATTCATTTTCTTTATGAATTTCAGTATTTTGTTGCAAATTTAACACATAAAGGTAAACATGGAACTTAGTTGGCTGATATGAATGTTCTAAGAGAGAGCTTGTTAACATATGTGGAATTTTGAATGCAGAATATACAATTCTTAAAAAATGATTAAAGCTGAAATGAATTACTTCAGCAGTTTTTAAATGTTACTTTTTTTTTTCTCTTGCAGTATACTGTGTGGAATTTTGTGCCCAAAAATCTATTTGAACAGTTTAGAAGAGTGGCCAATTTTTATTTTCTTATAATATTTTTGGTTCAGGTAAGTTGGATAATTTAACACTACTTAAACATGTGCAATTGAAATGAGGGATTTGAAAAAAAAATCTTGTTGAATATAACAAAGCATAAAGCTTAGTATATTGACTTTTGCAACAATTAGCAGCTTACTCTCAGAGATAGAATTCATTTATATCTAGTGACGTTGCACTGCCATTATCCGGACGTTTGTCCATATTTTTCTGTGGTTTCATAAGACGTTAGCTGATCTGCTTCGTAAGGTTTATTCCTAGTGACTAACATGTTTTCTTCACTCTAAAAGGAGGATGTTAAAATGTTGATGCAGTTTAGTTATTATATATAATATATTTTGAAACCTGGTTATCCATAAATTGGCATTTCACTTGATTGAATAGCCTCTCTTAATCCTTCCCACATGTAAATACAGACTGAGGAAAGATTAGTTGGCTTTAGTTTTGCAAAACAAATGCATGGTGATATGAATTAGTAATATTGTCAAAGAGACCTTTCCTAATTTGATATTTAATCTCTGAATGTGAGTTCCTGGAGGAATTTAAGCGTTAAAGCTATTTTTCTATTTAAAACCGGCCAGATGGGTGGTCATTTACCTCCTTCATCCTACCTGGAACCTGGTCAGTAATATAATCAGAAATTTAGCTATCATTTGGGGCTTGTGCTGTTGAAATTATATTGATTTTTGCTGTCAGGTCCATCACAAGATTTAGCAGATATTTAAAATGTTGTCATAGCATTGAAAAAAAAATCTATGTGCCTTGATGGCACATAATCAATCAATAGCATTGTAACAACAGGTGGGATACATAGGGTTGACTCATGGACTTGATTGTTGTCCAAAGCTAACAGGAGGGAAGAAAGAACAGGCTCTCAAAAAAATCCCCCTAGAAATATGAAATTATGCTATTCAGGGGAATATCTGTCTTAATTCTCTCTGCATGTGACAAGATTGCAGTTCTCAACTCTTTTTAAATGTGACGCAAAACCTTGTTGTGAGGGATGGACTGAACAATGTATTACTCAGATGTGTTTTGTGTATCCTGTAAATACTCTATTTCATAAGCCAATATAGTATTAGATTCCATTTATGTCTTATATTTTATATCTTTTGTAAATGCTGCCTCAGACCTAAGTTGCAATGAAATCCAGGTTGTGGCTGTTTCAATAAAACGGTTAAAAATCTCCCACCTACTGCATGTAAAGCATGCTTCCCCCCCCCTTTCATTATTCAGTGCTCCTATTCATATGACGATGTAATCAGAAAATAGTTGTTACTCGTTTTTGCCAAGTTTTTCTTCTCAACTTGTACTTATGCTTTCACAAGTTGTGCTAAAGCTTCTTTTTTCTAAAAACTTTAATAGAAAGGATTCTAAATTTAGCAAAAAAAAGTTCTATGGGTTAAGCTTTGTTTAAGTGTTAACTGTTAAGTACTAAGCTCAATCAGTAAGTCTAGTATGTGTTTTAATTTGGTTTTTTTTTTACATCCAGCTTCATCAGTATTTTGGCTGGCCTACATTTGAACTGTTCACATTTATGCTATGAAATAAATTCAGAAAAGCTATCTAATTTGGAAAATTTGTTTTGTGAGCAAGAGAACCATCAATAGTGATAGGATAGTAATGCTAGGCATTTAGTCATGAAATGGTTTACAATTTCTGTATTTCACTATACCTCTCTTTTCCTTCAATGAAATCAGAGTGAAATTACTTGTATTGTTTTTAGAAGAGAAACATTTCTCAGATTTTAAGAAACAAAGAGCAATCTACTATTAGTTGTGCAGCCATCATAGCCAATATTTCATAAATAATCCTTCAACAGATAATGAATAGATGGCCTTATTCAAAAATGAAGATCTGTTGCCCTTTAACACCTTAAAGTACTCCTCTTTGATTCCAACACAATTTGCTATGCTTTCTGTATTGATTCCTCTTTCTGTTGACATATAGCATTTCTTTATTGTGTCACCAGTATACATATCCTGTGGATTAGTTCATAAAGTAAACAGCATTGATTGATTATGTGCCATTAGATCAATGTCATTTCTTAGCAACATGGATAAATGTTCTCCATGACAAAGTATCCCTAACCTGGTCTTTTAGGTCTTCCAACATAGTGCCTGTTGCCTCTGTAATTCCACTTTGGTATTCCTGTTCCTCTCTTTCCTTCTACCTTTTCCAGCATTGTAGCTAGATCTTTCACAAAATGTGTTCTGAGTGTGATCATTTGAGCCTGATCAGTTGTATCTTGAGTGAGAACTCTGGGTTGATTTATTTATTTCTTTATTTATTTGTTACCTATTTGTTTCTTTGGTTGTACATGGTATTCTCAAAGGATTTTTTCCAACATCAGTGTTCATACTTTCACTTCCATAGAATGTCACAGGAAATGCCATTGCCTATATACAATTCTGATCATAGTTCTGCCACATCTCAAACACCTGAATACCTTTTCCAAGACTTCCATGGTTGTTCTACTGAGTGCTAGTCTTCCTACCATAGAAAGCATCCTGGTTTAAATAAGTGAATGAATGAACACAAACCATACTGCTCTTTATATTTGCAAGTACCCATCCATGGAGCAATTGTGGATCATTATTTCCAAAAAGCAAATTGAAGATTGTTCAAGAGGAATGAAGTACTAGTGGAGAGGGACTTAAGTGACACCTATCAGTGATGTTTATTGCTTTGCTTGTACGGTGCTTAGGCATAAGCATATTTCATGATTTAAAAAAAAAACAATTACTAGGAGGAATAGCTACCATACCTGTAGAGAGACTATTCTATTTAGTATGTCGTTCCAGGGTTTTCTTGAAGTGTATAACTGGGGACAGTAATATGATCAATTATTCTTGTAGAGTTTAAAAAGTAGAAATAGCAGGAACATTGAGAAAAATCGATTAGCAGGCTCAAATTCTTGACTTTAAAAAAAGCTAAAACTATAGTCAGATGTCCGGAGCTTGAAAAGATGGCTTCCTATTTGATAGGTAGGATTTCATGGCAGCAGATCCTGATGGGAAAAGAGACTTATGATAGAGGGAAGCTCATAGAAAGGATAGAGGCAAAAGCACAACCATGAACATTTCCATTGAGGAAATACAAATGGAAATCAGAAAATGTCAGTATAGCTGTACGTGAAGGTAAATGACTACCTGAAAACAAACAGTGAACACATAAGATCTGGGAAGAGGATCAGGCCATAAGAGAAGTGATATCTGGAAATAGTAGAGATTATTTCAGAAACATTGAAGTCAGAGCGAACTGAAGTTGACAAAACATGGTAAGAGCAACAAGGCCACCTTCAGATGAAAACGAAAAAGCAGTGAAGCAACCAAATGATACAGAGCCACTCAATTCTTATTTTACATATCTGTCTTCTCCAAAAGTGGGTACATACCTAATTTTTTAAAATTATATAACTTACTTACTTTCTTTCTTTCTTTCTTTCTTTCTTTCCTTACTTACTTATTTAATCTTGCATTTATTTGGTTAACGAAAGCATATTAATTTTTTTCAGAAAATTATGGTTTTGGCTTTATAGCATGCATGGTCAATTATCCTTGTAGGAAGTAAATCTCTTAGACTGATAACTAACTTAATTCTCTGTAATTATATTTACTTGTTTTTTCTTGAATTCATGCTGTGTTCTCTACAGGAAGGGGCTTTACATTTGACAGCAGGCAAATAATAGAAACAGAGTGGCGTGAGCTTTTTTTCCTTTTGCCTCAGCACCACAATATAATGCACACATCCCCTTCAAAATCCCTATCCTGTTTATACTGAGAAGGAAAAGCTCATTACTTCTGAGCTTTCAAAGGTCCTTCCAGACCTGGTTATATGAAAGAGGTCTGTGTTTTGTCACAATGTCCGCAATCTTCTTCCATTTCTACTTTGAGTGGAATGCTGTGTTCACACTGTGTGTTTAACCAAGATCTTGCAACTGAACTTCCACCACGTGTTATCCTGCAACAATTCTTAGCACAGTCTGTATTTTTAATTATTAACAACACATTGGTGTGATTGCCCGCAAGCATCTTTTAATCTGCCAAGTATAGAAGGGAAATTTTGCCAAGTTCATTTTCAGTTTTCGGGCATTTTAAAATCAGTGAGAATCTGGCTGCTTTCCAAATGCCATTAAAGTACTTTGTAGGTAGTCCTTGACTTATGACTGGTCTCTTAGCAACCATTGAAGTTATAACGGACCCCCAAAAAGATACTTATGACTAGTGGCTACATACACACACACACACAGAGAGAGAGAGAGAGAGAGAGAGACTGAGCTCATGTGATTGCATTTTGGGTGCTTGGCAACCAGCCCCCAATTAGGACGGTTTGCAGCGTCATGTGATCGTGATTTATATGTATTGCGAGATATTAGTATTTAATTCCAATTTCCAGCTGAAATGGGTTCACTTTATGAACTGTTACAAAAACAGTCATGTGGTGACCCACTTAACGAATGGCATGATTTACAATCATAATTCCAGGCTCAGGTTTGGCCGTACGTTGAGGACTCCCTCTATGTAATCAGCAACAGGCCACATCAAAAGACAGCCAATACACATTACCTCACAAGGATCTCCCAGCAAGAAGCAGCAGCATGAGTATTGAAAATAAAAAAGTGGTTAATGCTGTATTCTGTTACACCATAAAATATAAATAACATCAAAAGTCTATCCACTAACATTAGGCTGGTTTTGGTAATTTTTGGAAGCTGCAAACCATTTCCAAAGAGTAATAAAATATTGTAGTATATTCAGTGTGCAGTATTATAGTAGCAACCACAAACCACTATTTACAGTTTTCTAAATATAATCTACAAATGTAAACATAGATTTTCCAAAATTTGACTCATATGCATATTATTTCTGTCTGTTTTCTCTTCCAGCTTATGATAGATACTCCTACTAGTCCAATTACTAGTGGATTGCCATTGTTTTTTGTTATAACTGTGACGGCCATAAAGCAGGTAAGAAAATGTGCCTTTTTTTGGTAAGTTGCTTAGCACAGAACATACACATTATGTTCAATACAATACAATTATCAGTAGGCCATCATTGTTAGCTCACAATGTGCTAATGTGTTTAGCGATATCCGCACATGGTGTATTTCTTCAGAAGCCATGCCAGCAAAAGCAAGGCATGGTTCCAAAACACTAAATATGCAATCTGAAATATTGAACCAAAAAAGGAGAATGTGTTTTTAGTGGGATCTTTTTGTACAGAATAATGTTTGATGCAACCATTCTGCATTTTAAACATGAATATTTATACGTAGTGAGGGAAGAATCCTATAGATACTGGGTGGACCTTTTACCTTTTTGGTCCAACTGTGATATGAAGGAGGTAACTTAAATTATTTTGTCCCTAAAAATACCTTGTATCTTAAATCATTGCTATTCTATATTTTTTTTGCACTTCCTTGCATTGAAATGTAACTGTCAACGCTGCTAACATCAGATGTTCTTGCTTTGAGAACAGATAGAAATGCAGCCATTTTTGTCTATTGCTTTTAGAGTTAGTTGATGCTGGGAGGGGGAATGTGGATGAGAGTCCAGCTAGTCATAACAGTAATAACTCAGCCGTGGGAACCCAAGGTCATTGGGCCCTGAGTTGATAGAGTTTTGGAGAGCTGGGGAGAAAGCCTGTGCTTCAAGCTAATTGGGGAATGTGATTTATGACTGTTTATTGGAGGAGGGAAATGTGCTTTGTTACTTTGTATCCAGGGGAGGGGAATTTAGTTTTGGTTTCGACTATGTAGTGCCGATACGTTGTTTCTCGAATAAAAGATTATTTGAGATAAACAATGCCTCAAAGTTCTTTTGAAGAGGTTCATCTGTTGGAACCATGACAGCAACAGTATTTTGTAAGGGTTTGAGCATCAATTGAAATAAGAAAATATATTTTGGTGTTAGGCATTAAAGCACAAAATATGTTTTTACCTGGGATTTATATAGCTGACATGTTTTTGTGATTCACAAGAAAAGCCTTCAGTGGATACTAATGACACATAATAGTTGTGGTGGAGTTTTGTATCTCAATTTGTATTACAGTATATATACCCTTTTTTCCTGCTGTCTTAAAGGAATGAGATTTTGCAAAGAAATCTTCTAAAATTGATTTACACAATAAGATGTTGCATTGTTCACTTGTTTCTAGAGCCAGTATTCTGGCTCCTGGAAGTTGATGGGTCCTGATTTTTTCCCCCAGTGCTTCCATAATACCTGTGGATAGAAAAGACTTATTCACTTGTTTATTTGTTTAAAGAACAACAATTCAAAATTAGTCTGCATAATACATTGAAGCAGCACAGGCTGGCTCTTGTTTACTATAGAACTTCCACTGTCTGCTTTAAATGAAATTACCGTCAGTTCAGTTTTACCTATCATTCTTTATAGTTGATGAAATTTTGTTTTGTTGTTTTTGTCAAGACTGTGTCCTGTATAAACATAACTTTCTACAAACATGACCTTGGGAAGGACCAATAGGTAGACAAAAATGCTAAATCCAGTCTAAACATCTGGCTGACTGTGTGACCAACCTTAATTCATATATTGAGTGGCAGATGTTTGTCTGTTCAGTTCTTCATTTTCTATTACTTAGCATACTAGCAAGAACGGGTGGGACCACAAAAGAGACAAAGTAATAGAAAATAAAGTCCTCTGGGACTTAAGAATTTAAATGGACAAGCATCTGCCACACAGTACCCCAGACTTTTAACAGTTGTTGATAACAAAGACAAAAAAGTCTGGATACTAAACATTACAAGACTTGAAGGCAGCAGAATAGGGAAAAAAACAACTGGAGAAAATCATAATGACCTGTAAATAGAAACTGTGGCAAAAGAAAGCAAACATAGTGCCAATAGCAGTATGTACCTTGAATACAATTCCAAAATATCTGGAGCAATGCTTGAACACCATCAGCATTGACAAAATCACTTATCAGTCAATTGCAAAAGGCAACTTTACTTTGAAACAGCTTACATCCTGCAATAGTACCTTTCATCATTAAACAATATCTGCCTGTTCCAGGTCCTTGGGAAGGACTTAATAGGTGAACAGAAATGACATATCCAGTCTAAACATATGGCTGACTATGCAACCAATCACATTTTATTAAATCTATATACATCCCAACTCCCATCTGAGTAGGAATGACCATGCAATTGCACTTTTTTCCTCTTTTCTTGAAGTATACGTGCAAGACTTCTCAGGCAACCTATATCTGTTTTGAAAACTCTTCTGTAACATAACCACAATCAGACAGCAGAATTGCCATTAGCACACTTGCTTGAATTTATCACTCCTATTATATATGTTTTTAAAAGAGAGATATATGTTGTCATCTCCCTCACCTAAAGTGGCAGGAATATCATGTTAGAAGAAGATTGTCTGCTTTGGCTTGGCTCCATCTCCCCCAACTTGATCCCTTCCAAGTTTTTGGAGCTGATCAGAGTTGTAGTTTTAATTGGTATGGGCCATTAAGGAATATTGAGACCGTAGTCCAGAGCATTTCCATTTGGGAAAAATGGAAAAATACTGTTTCCCTTTTCTGAGGCTCTAGTTTGGTCCTCTGATAAAATTTGAGATGGCAGCCAAGTAGCAGGCAAGATATATTAGTGACTTCCTTTGCTTTTTTTTTTTTTCAGGGTTATGAAGATTGGTTACGGCACAAAGCAGACAATGAAGTGAATGGAGCTCCAGTGTATGTTGTTCGTAGTGGTGGCCTTGTAAAAACAAGATCAAAGAACATTCGGGTATGTGTCTTACTGCCGTGTTTCCCCAAAAGTTAGACCCAACCCTATAGTAAGCTCTACCTTGATATTTGGGGGTGGGCCTAATATAAGCCCTACTCCAAAACTAAGCCCTAGTTTGGGGGCAAGGCACACCCCTAAAAATCAAGCGAGGGTAGGGGGTTGAAGCTGCCCCATGCGCACCCCGCACCCGCTTTCCTTACCGGTGGACCACCATAGCCAGGTCTCCCACACCCGCACATCTGTCACGCCGCTACTTGATTTCTTCTGTGGCCGCTTGGCTTCACTTGTGGCCAGCCACCATGTGGCACATTGTGCCGTTGCCGCTCCTCCCAGCAGCATGGCGCTTTGGGGCGCTTCCGTTGCTCATACGCTTTGGGCTGCTTCTGTTGCTTGCGGCAGGAGGCCACGTGGCACATCGGGCCATTTCTACTGTGGAAATGGCCCAAAGAGCCATGCAGCGTCCTGCCACAACCAGCAGAAATGATGCAAAGCACCATGCAGCGTCCTGCCGGGAGGAGCGGCAACGACGCAATGCACCATATGGCATTAGGCCGCAAGTGGCGGCAAGCGACCACAGAAGAAGTCAAGCAGCAGCACAACAGGTGTCGGAGTGTGAGAGGCCTGGCTGTGGTGGTCCTAAGGTAAGACATTCTCCGAAATTAAAACCTAGTGCCTCTTTTGGAGGCAAAAAAATATAAGACCGGGTCTTAATTTCAGGGAAACACGGAAACATAAAACGAATGTCTTCGGTAATTGTGGGGTTTAAACAAAACAGTCATAGCCATGTATTCAGTTTTACAAAGAATTTAATTAGACCAAATAAGGTTTCGTTGGACTGTTTTAATCCAGTAATTTTGCAAATCAGTTTTTCCATACGTTCTTCTGTCTCTCCAGGTAGGAGATATTGTGAGAGTAGCCAAAGATGAAACTTTCCCTGCTGATCTCGTACTTCTGTCCTCTGATAGAGAACATGGCTGTTGCTATGTTACCACTGCAAGTTTGGATGGAGAAACTAATCTTAAGGTCTGTGGTTCATACTGTTAACATGAATTATTTTTTTGTTTCTTTGAAATTGTGGCTAGGGTATTTTATTACCTTTATGTAGAAAAGAGTATTTAATTTATTTTGAATTTTTTTGAGTTCATATCAAAGCTTTAGATTTTTTTTATAGCCAAAGGCCATGTTGTATTAATTTTTATGAATTTAAGGAAAAATATTAGAACGAGTTTCTTAGGCACAGTTAATATGATTCATTGGAATGTGTTGTGTAGTTAGTTCTGATTATAATCAAGGGACTAGCAAATGTAATAGAGAAGGTTATGGATATGCTAGAAAGCTCTTTAAGGACAGATACTTCTGTTTTCTATGTTATTTTCCCCTAGTTTGCCCAATTTTTGTCCTATTTTGTGAACTGGTATAACAAGACAGTAAGGTATGCATAATGTCTCAAATTTAAAATATTTGAGCTTGAAATACCTGTTTCTACTTAAGTAAACAAATGTTGAGTTCAACATGTGACATTATATTTTAAAATATTTAGAATGTGAGAGGTTTATATACCTGTCCAAAATAGCCAGCAGTAGGAGCTTTCTTTTTTCCTTTCCTGTTAAGACATTCATGCTTCCTTCCTTTATTTGTCCTGTCATTTAATGCTCATTAATTTTTTCCAGATAACCAAATCCTCACTTCTATGTTTTTCTTTCTCATTGGTTGTTTATTTTCAACTATTTATTTCTTGTCACAGACATAACTACCCACAATCCTTTTTTACTGGCATCCATATACCTTAATATTTCTCCAACTATTTCCCCCTTTTTAGTAAATATTCTACAAGAATACAGAGCTTCATCCAATTTATGATCTGGTTTTTTGTTTTTTCTACTTGTCAAGTGGTGATCATCATGTGAGGGAGTCTTGCACTCATTAGGATGAACAAAGAGCCCTCACAGATCATTTTGCCAGGCCTGAAATTTATGAATGCAACACCAGATGGAAGAAATGTATAGTTTTCCTATTGACAGATGACCAGTTTACCAAATCGTGGCTTGTTTTAACTCAGCATTTTCTGTAACACTGACAACTTATTGGCAAATTAGGAATGCAGTTTTAAGATCTCACAAGGGTTTTTTTAAAAAAAAAAAAAAAAACCAGGGCTTTGGACCTTTGGGGATCTGTCGAAAGTATTAACCGAGACTTGTCAATTCATTGCTTTTTTTTCTTGCTTTTTTTTTTTTAGACACACATTGCAGTCCCAGAAACTGCTGTGTTGCAGTCTGTTGCCAATCTGGACAAACTTGTAGCTGTTATTGAATGCCAGCAACCAGAAGCAGATCTTTACAGGTTTCTGTTTTTTATTACTCTCTCTTTTTTTTTTAAGGATTTGGGAAAGAAAGTTATGGCTATTAAAAATTAGGCTAAAACTGCTCTGGAAATTCTTGTGATGGTGTCGTTAAATGCCTATGTTGCTTAGGGAGAACAAGGGCATGACTTACTGGGAATGCTCTGTTAATTTCATTTGGGAGTTTCCCTGAGTTTGGAAAATTCTCCCAATGTTCAAGCATTCAACTCCCCACTCCCCAGGGAAAAAAAAACCAGGATGAAGCATTTGATTCTCTGTCATCCTAACACTGAGAGGTCTGCCAACAACTCTCCAAGACAATGCAGATTTGCTGTAGAAAAATTGTTACAGGTAGTTCTCGACTCACAACCTTTCATGTAACCGTTCGAAGTTACAATGAAAAAAATGACTTATTACCATTGCAGCATCCCCATGATCACATGATCAAAATTTGGATGCTCATGTTTATGACATTTGCAGTGTCCCGGGGTCATGTTGATCACCTTTTGTGATCTCTTCACAAGCAAAGTAGCAACCGTGTTACTAATTTAACAACTGCAGTGATTCACTTAACAACTGTGGCAAGAAAGATTGTAAACTCAGGCAAAACTCACTTAACTGTCTTGCTTAGCAACAAAAATTTTGGGCTCAATTGGGGTTGTAAGTCAAGGACTACCTGTATTATTTTATAGCTAAGGAAGGAAAAGTCCTACGTTAAACTATTGTATTTAAATGGAAGAAAGTTAAAGAATGTGGCTTTGAATTAAGCTAACCAGGAAGCCTCCATCTATGGTTTGTTTAGCACTATGTCTGAACTGGGATTTCTGATTGTTGCTTCCTGGTTTGTTCTTGGCTTCAGATTCCTGGCTTTGTTGATCATGGCATGCCAGGAATTGGGCTTACCATTACATGCAAACCAGGTCAGTTTCTTTAACTCATTTCCTGTGCTGTTATGGTCAGGGTTTAGTGGCATATTGAAAAATTAAATTTTCCTTTTATTTCTTGAATGGTAACACATTAATATTGTTTTACAGATTTGTTGGGCGTATAACCATAAGTCATCAAATTGAGGAAATAGTGCGGTAAGCCAAATGCCCTCAATCTCAGTGAATGTGATTTGTGACCAATTCTATATCCAGGCAGTCCAACTTCTGTAAATAAAATGAAATAAAATGCCTTTATATACATCAGGCACAGGGAAGATTAAGTACACTGACAAGATGTTCCTACACTAGTTTTGTGATCACTTTGCAGCTTTTTCTGTTCCTTGTTTTTTGTTGCCCTATTCTGTGGATCTTTTTTTTTTTTTTTTTGACTAGAATGCTTTTAGAGAACTACTGCTGCATAAATAATAAATTGTAGTGGAAGTATCTTAAACTGTGACGAATACAAGCTATTGCAAGTTATTGTAATTTGTGGTTATAAGCTATTATTCCTTCCTGGTTTGAGTGATGTTGCAAACTGCCAGTTAGTAATTTGACCAGCTTGGACTAATTCATACAGCCAGTTGTTTTTTTCTGTTATATAAAAGAAACCGTGTAAAACTAGTTTTCTTGTAACAGTTCATTCTGGATTTGTATAGAACAGTTCAGTCCCTATGTACCTGTTAAACTTGCTATTTCTTCTAATAATTACTCAGACATTTCAAGCCATAATAGACAGGTGCCCAACAGGTTTGTCTTAAAATTGAACATTGGGTCAGCGTGGCTGACAATTTTATTTGATTCAGGGTCTTTGCTCACCCTTTGTAAACATCTATATAAATATTATAAGAATTATTGCTGGTCCAAGGTTCTAGTCATTGCAGAAAACCTTAAGAGAAACAGGTGGAGTTGAAATTATCACCCTTGTTTCTCCGATAACAACAACAGAGCATTTCATAAATCAAGTATCTTCTCTGTAAGGAGGAATTCAAAGTATTGTTTGCTTGTGGCATGAGGGAGTTGTTCTTAAGTGGCACATTCAGATGAATCCAGAACTCCTTAGAGAAGGAGTTGTGGTAAAAAACAGCAAAGCGAACAGTAGCTGAGCAGCATGAATAACAAACAATATCAAATGACCTGAAATACTAAAGGAATTTTTGAATTACTTGTAAAATACTTAACTTTTGTTGAGGTTGTTTAGTTTCAATGTATACTTCTTTGATAGCACAACAGAATTAAAAAAAAAAAACCTTAAGAGCTTTACTGGATTGAAAAAAAGGATTCATGTAGGATCTGTTGTGTCTTATGACCTGCTGATGCCCCCATGAAGTTCACAAGTAGAATGAGATGGGCATTACATGACATGCTCTTTATGGCGTCTCCAAACTATATGTGTAAATTAATTGGGTTTTAGTGACACTATTCTATGAATTTATCTCTTCCTTTTTTAGGAAGTTGCTTACTGATAGGTCCAATAAAATTGCTGCATTCCAGAGAGGGGTAGTTAGTTCAAAACGATTTTGATTCCCAAAGACAAAATTATTCACTCTTTATCCTAGAGCAGGGGTAAGGAACCTTGGCTCTTTTATGACTTGTGGGCTTCAACTCCCAGAATTCCTGAGTTAGCATGGCTGATTCAGGAAGTCCACAAGTCATAAAAGAGCCAAGGTTCCCTACCCCTGTCCCAGAGAATCCTCTTGTTAGTCCTATAGCCATTTCATCTTTGACAAACTATTTCAAACTGTTCGTGTGTGTGCCGTCAAGTCAGTTTTTGATGCCTGACGATTTGCCTGGACTAGTCCCTTCAGTTTTCTTGGCAAGATTTTCAGAAGTGGTTTGCCATTGTCTTCTTTCCAGGGCTGAGAAAGAGGGATTGGCTCACTTTATCCAACAATGTGAACAAACAGTGATCTTTCTTTTGCAGACCCCTTGGACCCGAAAGTCTTCTACTTCGTGGAGCAAGGTTGAAAAACACTAAAGAAATTTTTGGTGTGTGACAGTAAAGTTTCACTAACTGGTTAATATTTCTTGAATGGATGAAATTGCAGAGCTTTCTGTTAGAGTAGCTAATCGCTGGCAAATCATCCAGGTTAGGAGACTTTTCCTAATTAAGAGGAAGTGTACCCGTGTTGATTATAATAACTTGCACCAAGAAATACAGGAAGTCTTCGACTTGCAACAGTTTGTTTAGTGGCCGAAGTTACAACAGCCTTGAAAAAAGTGACTTATGACTGTTTTTCACACATTGCAACATCCCCATAGTCACGTGATTGACATTTAGATGCTTGGCAACTGACTCCTATTTATGACAGTTCCAATGTCCGGGGGGTGTCACACGATCCTCTTTTGCAATCTGTTGACAAGCAAAATCAATGGGGAAGCAAGATTCACTTAACAACTGCAGTGATTCGCTTAACAAACGTGGCAAGAAATTGTGGTTGTAAGTCGAGGACTAACTGTAGTTGATGCTGGTGTAACCCAGAGAATCTGGATTCTATGTCTGTCTGTCTTTCACCTTTTTAAAGTCCTATTAGTGCTTTGTTCCCTCTGTTGTTCCAGGAACCTAGACCACTTAAGACCTCTCCTTAAAAGTTTCTATCTGTTGCCTCCTGGTCCATTTGATTTGGTTAAATATTAGAATATCTTTCCAATTTAAAAATCTGGACAAAAAAACTACTCACTTAAAAAAAAATCACGACTGCAATCATAGAGTGGATTTAGAAACCCAGTAGAGTGATCAGCCAAAAATTGAAGGAATCCCTCTGTGTCTGGCTCCTCAAAAGAAAGGGACAAGAATGAGCCTAGAACAGGGGTAAGCAACCTTGGCTCTTTTATGACTTGTGGACTTCAACTCCCAGAATTCCTGAGTCAGCCACGCTGAGGGGAAAGGGAGAGTTTTTAAGCTGAGCCATGCTGGCTCAGGAATTCTGGGAGTTGAAGTCCACGAGTCATAAAAGAGCCAAGGTTGCCTACCCCTGACCTACAGTAATACACAGTCTTGCTGCCATGCTGAACGTTCTTTTACTCTTTATAGGTGTTGCTGTGTATACAGGAATGGAGACAAAGATGGCATTGAATTATAAGAGCAAATCACAGAAACGATCAGCAGTAGAGAAGTATGTGGTGGGCAGTATTTCACTCTGTTAAAGATTAATGTATTAATTTAAATTGTAAAGCAAGAGGAATTCAGAAGAAGGGATGCAACGCGCAAGGGAACACTTCAATTATTTTTTATGGTCATAGACTAGCAGGATGGAATACAAAGAATAATTTTAAAAGCTAAAAAATACAAAAGACACGTAAGTTAAAAAACAAAGGAACATGTTGTAAAAACATTTTTTGAACATCTCTGTAGCTTGAACCATTTGATAAGTATTATTAGGCTAATGTTCTCACGTTCTACTTTAGCGAAATTAATATTCGCTTTTGGAATATTCAAATGTATTGAATGTGGACTTTGTTCCTCAAGGGAACTTGGAAATAAATCACCGCGTGAAATGGGATGTAGTCAGATCAAAGTTCTTTTTTTGAGAACTATTCTGATAGGCAATCAATGTATGACAAAGCACAGTCCTAGAAATATTGAATTCATTCTGCATATCGGTTTGCCCTTAAGTGTTTTATATCAGGGGTGCCCAACCCCCGGTCTGTGGACCGGAACCAGTCCACGGCATGCCAACAGCCAGTCCACACAAACAAGCAAAGCCCCATCCGTGGGATGCAGGCAACACACAAAACCACACACTCTTTGGTCCATGGAAAAATCTTTCTCCACGGAACCGGTCCCTGGTGCCCAAAAGGTTGGGGACCTCTGTTTTACATGCTTCACTTCTAAATGAACCAGCCTGTATCTTTTCCCCAAATCTTGTCCTACCATACCTGTTGTGATTCTGTGCCAGCCTGTGCTCCCAACAGCTGAGTCTGAGGAATCTGAGGAGGAGGAGGCATTTGAAGGGCCATCAGGGACAGAGGGAGGCTCTGATGAATTACAGGACTCACAGTTTGATGCAGAGCCTAGACCCTCCAGTTGCGTTCCTGATGAAGCTCAGCTGTGTGAGGAGAATGAGTCAGACTCAGAGGACTCACACCTGATGGACATGCTAATTGATGCACGCACACGTCGTCAATTAGTGAGAATAAATCAGCAGCAGTCAGTACGGCAACTCCAGGGTAAAAGGAGAAGGCACTGAGAGGCAACACCTTGGGACTGCTGTATAAAAAGAGGAGGTGTGGGCGGTGCTGGTTGCTGAAGGCAACCGTTTGCAAAGTACTTCTTTGAATCCTGGTCTGTTCGTCTTGCTTGTGACTACTCTTTTGTTTGCATCGTGTTTCCTGTGGACTATTTCCTTCATTTGGATTTGAGTTTTGCTGTTTGTGTTTTGGACTATTTGGCAGGTTTGTCACCCATATTAAAAGGGGTTTGTTTTGTTTTAAAGTCTCTAGCCTATTTTATCAACGGGTTTGGTCCTTGTGCCTTTAACAAAGACGGCTATAGGCTGGGATAGAACAATACCTTGAAGCTAGAAACTTCTCGTGATTTTCCATTTTCTGCCTTTAATAGAGAACTCTTTTTTTTTCTTTTTTTTGCAATCAAGGGTTAAGAGAGAAAAAGCAAAGCTGGTGGTTTTCAAGAAAAATTTGGACGTCCATTGGTCCAGGATGGTAGGACAGGGATTTGAACTAGAAGACCTCTAAGTCATCTCCAACCTAATGATTCTATCAAACGCTTCCTTTTTCAATCTCCACCCTTCCCCGTATGCAAAAGTTTAAGTTGGTTGAATACAACACAAAGATTGTTAGAATTATTGTTGCTGTAGTTTTTTTTTTAAGTAATGTGCAGATATAGTTTGAATTGCCCAGAGCTCCCTTGGTCTTCAGTGCTCCTCTTAGTTTTTTTAGCTATAGGACAGTTTTAATTCAGTAGCATTTGGGTATTCAATTGTCTCCCCTCCAGGTCTATGAATTCTTTTTTGATTATCTACCTAATAATCCTCCTTTGTGAAGCTGTTTTAAGTACAATACTGAAGTATGCCTGGCAGAATGAAGAGAAGTGGAATGAACCTTGGTATAACCAGCAAACGGATCATGAAAGAAACAGCAGTAAGGTAAAATGTAAATGATATGTCTGATTTAGGTGTTTTTTTCCTGTATCGGAAGTTTTGATTTGACTTATAAAAATAACTAAAGGGAGACAAGAATTCTCTTCAGTTAATTTCTTGCCCCATTATTGTAGCTGATAATATGTGACTATTGTGACTTACTTTTCTGCTTAAAGGGATGTTTTTTTAAAAAAACTCACATGCTTAGAAGTTGTTTCTATATTCTCGTCTCAAGCAAGAAGACCAAAATAATGCCTCTATGCAGCAAAGAAAACCTATCTTTACATATTAACCAGCAGTCTTAAGAGAAGAAAATAGATACATTCACATGTCACATTGGTCAAACTGAGATTAGATTTAGTATGTTATCTGAATCTACTCTTGGACTGATATTATGATTAAGGCTTCCCTGTCTCCCTTTAGCTATAACACTATTTGCCAACAGAGGCAAATGGAATGAGTGGCTTTTGTATACAGATAGTCCTCAACATATGATCACGTTTGAGCCCAAAGGTTCTGTTGCTATGTAAGACATTTGTTAAGTGAGTTTTGCCTCATTTTACAACTTTTCTTGCAAGAATTAAGTGTCACTGCACTTGTTAAGTTAGTAACATGCCTGTTAAGTGAATCTAGCTTCCCCATTGACTTTGCTTGTCAGAAGGTGATCACATGACCCAGGACACTGCAACTGTTATAAATATGAATTATTTGTCAAGTGTCTGAATTTTGATCATGGGGATACTGCTATAGTCGTAATGTGAAAAATGGTCATAAATCACTTTTTTTCAGTGCCATTATAACTTTCAATAGTCATTAAATGAACTGTTGTAAGTCAAGCACTACCTACACCAGTGGTTCTCAACCTTTCTAATGCCGCGACCCCATAATACAGTTCTCCATGTTGTGGTGACCCCCAACCACTTATACATCACCGGGTGCCAGGGGCGTGGCCAAAGAAAAGGGGGAAAAATGGCGGACAGCCTTGTTTGGCGACCCCCGTGAAATGGTCGTTTGACCCCAAATGGGGTCCCGACCCACAGGTTGAGAACCACTGACCTACACTAATTTCAGCTCAGTTGGAAAAGGGATGAGACAAAAGTATATCAAATATGGGGTAAGATTCCTGTTCCAGATTAAACTTATTTGATCACAAACAGAAAAGACACTACTTTTGGAAGAAACATAAGCTTGGTTTAGTAGTTCTTAGATGATATACAGGTAGTCCTTGACTTAACTACCAGGCATTTAGCATCTTTCAAAGTTACAACACTCCCAAAAGTACGTGCGACCCAGATTTGAAATGTTGATAGTCATCCCTTTCCCCATAATGCAACATGATTGCATTTTGGGTGGGCTCTATGACAATTCGCTATGCCTAACTTGCCGTGGCCAACTTGCTGCAGCTAACTTGCCATAGGCCAACTCACTGCAGGACAAAAGAAATGATGGAATGGAATCATTAAAGAAAGGATGCAAAAGGAGGGACAAAATGAAATCTAAATGACAAAAAATTAAAACATTTTATTTATTTTAAATAATTAAATTGAACTGATAAATTGTCCTACAATGAGTTGGCCTGCAGAGTGTTGGCTGTGGCAAGTTGACTGTGGTGAGTTAGCTGCGGCAAGTTGGCCATAGAGAGGTGGCCATAGCGAGTTGGCTGTGGCAGGTTGTCCCATTCCATTTTGGGCATTGGGCAACCAGCCCACATTTATAACAGTATCCCAAAGATACATAACTGTGATTTACAGCTTTTTGCCATAACCAGCGTTTATTTCCAGTTTAACAACCATGGCATTTGCGTAATGACTGTTGATTTGTTTAACAACCATAGTGACTTGTTTAACTGCCACAAAACATCATAAATCGGGTCAGTTACAGGATGACCACCTTAATGACCAGCACAATTCTTGGCTCAATTATGGCTGTAAGTCAAGGACTACCTGTTAGTTAGGCTGTTACAGAATATGCCCTCGTTATCTCAATATCACTGTTCTATAGAATTGCATTTTGATTGTATCTGTTATAATCTTGTCCTCAAATGCTTTCTCTCTTATTTTTTAGTTTAATAATACTGTTCCCTTTCTTCTTTTAGATCTTGCGCTTCATTTCAGATTTTCTTGCTTTCCTGGTACTTTACAACTTCATTATACCCATTTCACTTTATGTGACTGTGGAGATGCAGAAATTTCTTGGGTCTTTTTTTATTGGTTGGGACCTTGATCTCTATCATGAAGAAACAAATGAAAAGGCCCAAGTAAATACTTCAGACCTCAATGAAGAACTGGGACAGGTATAAAATAATTCAAAATAGTGTTTGAAACAAGATGAAGCTAATTTTGATTTAATTAATAAAAGTGATTAAATGCATAGTTGTTCTTTTTGCATAGTTAATATTCCCTATAGATTTTATAATTTTTTCCCCTTTTGTCTCACTAAAAAAATTGTAATTTGGAAGTGGTTCAGTAGTGGACCACAGTCTGAGATTTTAAATGAGCATTGTTGCCCTGTACATTGTGTAATTATTTGAAAAGTTTATTGAATGCTTATTTTCCATGTATTTATAATAAACCAATTACACCTATTTCAGATAAGTACAATAAATATGCACAAGTTGAAATGAGTGCAGTATATCTGCAGACCATAATGAATGTCCCACTAGTGGATATGAGGGAGACTTGCTGCCTTTTTTAATTCTTAAACTTATTTGACTGACGTAACTTCTTAACTCACTGTAGGTGGAGTATGTATTTACAGATAAAACTGGTACATTGACAGAAAATGTGATGCAGTTTCGGGAATGTTCCATTAATGGTCTCAAATATCAAGAAATCAATGGCAGATTAGTTCCTGAGGGATTGATAGAAGACTTTCCAAGTGGAGTACCGCCCAGTTTTGTAAGTTCTTTCTAAAATTAATTTCTTGAAATTAATTTTGAGCTTTCTACAGTCTAAAGTTCAGGTCCTTCTTGACGTTATCCCAAAGATGCTCTTTCACGAGGCAATTGGACTTTCACCATCCAGTGAGAGTCGAAGAAGTTTCTTGGATGAGAAGCGAAACATCTTCAAAGAAAAAACAAAGTCCAGTTGCCTCGTGAAAAAGCATCTTTGGGATAACTCTCATCTGGATGACTAAGAATCTCTATAAACATCCTTCTTGAAGGTTTTTTTATGAGTGTTTTTCAAAAGTAACTTCTAAACTTTCCGCTATATGAATTTTCTTTAATTCTGACTGCAACTAAAATCTGTTATTATTTAGGTTTCTAAGAGCAATTAGATATTGTCTGCAGGAGATCAATTGCACGATGCTCCATTTTTTATGTTAATGTTCTTATTTTTCCTAATGTTCTGTGCTAATTGAGAATGAGCATCTGTGTTTGGAATCCTATATTTAAAAACCTTGCATTCAAAACACTGATCCTTATTACTGTTTGAGTATAATGTATCAATTATCCAAAAGAATTACTTTCAAATCCCATCTCCAACTCTTATTTTTTAAAAATGTATTTTTACTCTGTCAAATTCAGAATATAATGGCAGCAATGCTAATGCAGTTTTAGCACATTTAGTGTAATACGTTATTAAAACTCTTCTATATTTTGAGGAAAAGAAATTCAAATTGATCTTAAAGTAGGAAAAGTATTGAATGTTTTGGCCAGCAGGTTGGAGAATTATGTATTCTGCCTTAAGATGCACAAAACAAAGGCAGGATATGAATTTAATAATAAAAAATACAAATTTTATTTTGACTGGCTGTATCTAATAGCTTTTAACGAAATTTTAATTAGAATAGGACAGGACAGGACAGGACAGAACTGGAAGGGACCTTGGAAGTCTTCTAGTCTAGCCCCTTGCGCAAGCAAAAGAACCTATACCATCTCAGACAAGTGACTTGTCTAACCTCTTTTTAAAAATCTCCAGTGATGGAGCGCCCACGATTTCTGGGGGCAAGCTATTCCACTGGTTAATTGTCCTCACTGTCAGGAAGTTTCTCCTTAATTCTCTCTTTGATCAGTTTCCAACCATTGTTTCTCGTCCTTCCCTCTGGTGCTTTGGTGAATAACATGACCCCCTCTTCTTTGTGGCAGCCCCTCAGATATTGGAACACTGCTATCATGTCTCCCCTATTTCTTCTTTTCTTTAGACTAGCCAAACCCAAGTCCTGCAGCCATTCTTCGAATTAAACTAAAACATATTCAAAATTTAAACTTATTACATAAAAACTCCTATGGCTGGGAAACCTATGTGAGATTGGGTATTCCTAATTCTGTCTCTTAGATTATAAAATGAAAAAGAAAGGTTTGACAAACTAGACTTCCTACATACATAATATCTATATGTACAATAATATGTTCATTATAAGGCCCATGTTTAGATACTGCATGAAATAATAGTAGAAAAATTTGGTAGCCTGTCTATATACAAGTGCTCCTCAACTTATCACTAAAGTTACAACAGACCCTTAAAAAAGGACTTAAAAATTGAATTTGAAATTCCAACATCCATTGTCAAATGACCATATTTGGGGCACTCAGTAAGCAGCCCACATTTATAGCCATTTGTGGCATCCCACAGTTCACAATGTTTTACCAGAAACTGGCATTTACTTCCCAATGCTCTGTAGTGAATATGGGTTCATTTTACAACCATCACATTTGCTTTACAACCACTGCATTTGCTTAATAACTCACACACACACACACACACACACACAAAACCAGCTTGTAAAATCAGGCACAGTCATGTAATGAGCCATTTTATGACCTCACAACTTATAACTGAATTGCGGGCTCATGTTATGTTGATAAGTTGTGGAACATCTGTAGATTGTCAATTGTTAATAAAATAATAATCTTAATAAAGTCGTAGACAAGTCCATTTGTGAAAAATGTAAAAACCCTGTCCAAAATTTTCATAAAACATTGTGAGACCTTGTTCACTACTTTGGACAGTATTGTGTGTTGTATTTTTAGTTAAGAGGGAAAAAATGTTCTCTAGCTATGATAGCCCAGATATTCACTATGAAAATACATAGGCATACATTGTTGTGGCTACTCCTAACTTTTTATTTTGGTAGGAGTTTGCTTCATAGGATAAAGATAAAATTAATAAATCAGATTCATCGCAGTGTTTTGTCTTTAATTTTTTTTTAACAGACACATGAGGAAGAACTCTTCCTGAAAGCTCTTTGTCTCTGTCATACAGTGCAGATTAATAATGACCAAACTGATGGCATTTGCGACAGCCCGTGGCGTAGCAATGGTCTACCATCTGAATTGGAGTACTATGCCTCGTCTCCAGATGAAAAAGCTTTAGTTGAAGCAGCTCGCAGGTAAGGATCATAAAGCCAGGCTCTGCATTATAAAAGGCAATACCAGTTCAATCTTTGTCTGGGGTCCAATTAGAGCAAGCAAGGAGAAGAGAGGTCCAGATGTGTTGTCCAGCCTTCCTTTAACCCTTACTAGATGTGCTCTTGTATTATTTCTAGAATACCAGGGATGAATGACCAGGAATGAGGGCATTGCATTGCTTTTTATAACACAACTATGGTTGGTTAGTAAAATAACAGCCATAATACCAAACTGATTATCTCTGGGCCCTCTGCTAGAGTTATCCTGCCTCGCTCTTCCATTTAGTAAATTCAGCTGATGAGTCTCAACAGAATTGCAGGCCCTTGAGAATCAGACATCATTATCAGCCATTCAGTCATGTCCGACCCTTGACCACTCTATCAATCAGCATTCAGATCTGCCATGGTCATCCTGGTGTCATATTTTATAGTGTCCAGCCAGCAGGTACTAGGGTGGCCCTTTCTCCTTTTTCACTGATTACTCCCAGCATGATTTACTGATTGAGAATAGTAATAGTAGTAAAGTTGGAAGGGACCTTGGAGGTCATCTAGTCCAACCCCCTGCTCGGGCAGGAAACCCTACACCATTTCGGACAAATGGCTGCCCAGTCTCTTCTTAAAAACTGCCAGTGTTGGAGCATTTACTGCTTCTGGAGGCAAGCTGTTCCACTGATTAATTGTTCTCACTGTCAGGAAGTTTCTCCTTAGTTCTAGGTTGCTTCTCTCCTTGATTAGTTTCCACCCGTTGCTTCTTGTCCTGCCTTCAGGTGCTTTGGAAAATAGCTTAATTCCCTCTTCTTTATGGCAGCCCCTGAGATATTGGAATACTGCTATCATGTCCCCCCTTGTCCTTCTCTTCGTTAATGATTGATTGACATGATTGAGAATTGGAAGGGATGGAGAAGTGTGACACTGAGAATGGCATTTAGGCCACAGTGTCCCTTCTTACTGTAGAAACCCAAATAAGGGGTCTACAACAGACACTTAACCTGGCATCAGCTTGTACACATCCCTTGAGGGAAAGCCACCAAAATTGCTCCTACTGTTTTTGTCATGAAGGCCATACTCATTATTCTCCAGTGCTTCGGAAAGCCTTCAGAAAACTTGTGATGTTTTCCAGAGCAACACAGGGATGGCCCCTGTAATTTGGAGAACTGAGTGTGTGGCCTCTGGAAGAAGGCCTAGGACAGGTGTGTCAAACTCAATTTCATTGAGGGCCACATCAGCATTGCGATTGCCCTTGGGGGGCTGGTGGGTGTGGCCAGAGTGGGTGCAGCCTACTGGGTGGGCGTGGCCAGCTCTACATCGTTCGCATCAAGGGTGCCTGGGGGGGCCTGGTCAGGAGTGGGACAGATCTGAGGGTCTCTGGCAGAAGGGGGTGGGACCGGGGCAAGTGCCAAGGCATGGTGCATTTCTTCATTCCTCAGAAAAGGTGACACCTCCTCAGCATGCACCCAGGGGGTGGGGCCAACGCAGCAGGGGCTGGTTCCTCGCTGTTTCTCGATGGCCTTGTGGAGCTAAAACTGAATGCATTTCAGCATAGATGCCCACCACAAAATTGTACATTGACTCCCGGGCGGCCAGGGCCGGGGCCAAGGCAGCAGGGGCCGTTCCCTCACTGTTTCCAGGATGGCTTCGTGGGCCACATGAAACCACTTCGCGGGCCGCATCTGGCCCCCGGGCCTTGTGTTTGACATGTCTGGCCTAGGACTTTCAGCATTTGCCTTGCATAGGGACAGACCTTAGTGTGCCTTGTCAGTGGCAGGAGGAAGATGGTGAACATCAGCTGGTCACGCCAGGGCTTGCAGAGTGCAGAGTGGTAGGGATTTTGCATTGCGGCACTGGTGCAATCTTGTTCCTTCTCCCAGTGTAACTAAAGTTATATGGCATACATTTTAATTGTTGTTCTTTAATAGAGTTGCATAGAGATTAGCAAAAATGGATTGGAGTCTAGATGTCAATTTCAAATTTTCATTTTTGATTAAATTAACTGGCTTTAATACAACTTGTTACTGTTAAGTTCAACCATCCTTAATTAGGAGTCTATTATGAAATCTGAAAGCACCTTCATGGAAGAATTATTCAAGATTCTTTCTAAAAGCATTTTACTGCTATGCATGGATAATTGGGAGCAATATTACTTTTCTACGTAAGACACTGTTTTTAATGTTCATAAGGTTATCCACTTATTTCACTTTCTTTTGAACTTTTAGGGTTGGTGTTGTGTTTACTGGGGCAAATGCAGAAAGCATGGAGCTGAAAAGCTGTGGAAAGCCAGAAAGGTAAAGAATACGTTTCCTTGTTTTTTTAAAAAAAATACTGAAATTCTGTAGTGTAGGAGTAAAACTTACAGTCCTAGAAATGTTGCTGAATGCAACTACCATCAACTTCAGCCAAAATGCATTAAAAAGATCCTAATTTCTGATATGGAGGGGGGGACATGATGGCCCAGTGGTTGAAGATCTAAACTTGTCAGTTGGAAAGCTGACAGCCCGAGTTCAAAACCCGAGCACCACATGATGAGGTGAGCTCTTGACACTTGCATATCTCCTGCCCTCTTAGCAGTTTAAACACATTCAAATTTGAGTGGGAAGGTAACAGCGTTTCATGATTCTTGGTGTATAGTCAAGTTGGCCACATGGCCACGGAAGCATCTTTGGACAATGCTGGCTCCCACAGCTAAGAAGATGAGCACCTAGACTGAACAGGAGAAAACTTTACCTTTAATTTTTGATATAAGGAATCTTAGCACATTTTGATATAAGGAATCTTCGCACATCTTCATCTCACTCCCTCTGTGTAGAAGAAGCAATATAGAAAGAAATAATAACTTAAGGAACATATTTGTTTCAAAGTGTTTCTTCAGATCTTGGGATCACCAGTTATATGTTTGTTGGAGTTAAGAAAAAGATGGTTCCCTCCCAATTGAAGGAAGCAATTAAATAGGCTATAGATTAGGTTAGCTTTTATCATTTTTCATCCAGGCTTTCCTCCAAGTAACTTGATGATCATATATATGAGGTGTTGTTATTGTTGTTGTTATTAGATTTATCTTTTCTATTATGCTGTCTGCCATATCCACTATCCAGACTTTTTTTTGTCTTTCTTATAGACAGTTGTTAGACTGAGTGCTTTGTGCCAGGTGATTGACTATTTGAATTCTAAAGTCCCGGAGTGCTTTAGCTTCTTCATTTCCTATTCCTTTCTCTATTTTATGGTGCCATCAGTTTTTGCTTGCAGGCAAATGGTATTTCTTGCAGATTTTCCAATGCACCATTGTTGCTACTTTGTCATGCCGTTGTTTGTGGTCAGTCTGTACAGTCTTCTTGCAGTAGCTAACCAGGTGGTCCACTATTTCTTCAGCTTCTTTGCAGAAGCAGCACTTACTGTCTGTTACTGTCTTGTCAGCTTGCATTTTGTTCTTAAGGCTTGGTCTCCTGCATTGTGCAAAAGACCTGGCTTTTCCCTCAAGCAATAATTGCACATTAAAAGAGATGAATGCCAGGTTTTTGTTATTTTTAATGTTTTAATCAGTCTTACAATTTTAAAGTGATGATATATGTCTTTTAATTTTGATTAGGAGCCACCCAGAATTGGTTGAAGGATAGGCGGCTATATAAATGTTTGAAATAAATATAATAAAATAAAATAAATCACCATTATTATTTGTTGTGATTATTCTGCTATCGTAACTGCTTTGCAAGGTAGCTTTGTATTCTTTTTTTATAATATAAAGGTTATTAAAAGTTTTAAAGAGAACATAAAACCTAAGACAAACTAATACAGAATAGAAGGGGAAAAAAGACAAAAGTTTGGAAAGAAAAGATAAAAATAAATTTAAAAAATGTTTCCAATGCTGCATTTTTCCTTTGTAGCAAATATTAAAGCATGATTTTGAAGTGATCTATTACTCTGATTACAAAAAAACTCACTTTTCTATTCCCTATTTTTTTTCTAATCTTCTAAACCACAAGTCATAAATGCATTTTTCTGTTACATGCAAAAAGTCTACAAAAGGTTTCTAGCGAACCATAAATGTAGATGCTGTGTTTTCTCTTAATATAAAAAAATTAATTTAGCCATTTCTGCGAGTTCTATCATCTTCACCAACCATTATTCTATTGCGGGTAATATTCAAACTTTCCCACTTTTGAACATATAGTAATCTCCCTGCAGTTGTCATATATAAAAACAAAGTTCCATGGCTTTTTTCTAGCTGTTTGTCTGTTAATCCCAAAAGAATCCCCAAAAGAAAAGTCTCTGAGTATACATTAGTCTTTAACTTTTTTCTGAATTAGTGCATTTATTTATATCCAAAATTGTTTGGCTTTTTTACCGATCTACCATATATGATAAAATATCCCTTCAAGTTCTTCACATTTACAGGAAAGATTTGAAATAAAATCCACCCTGATTCTCATGAATAAATTAAGTACTAACCTTGTAAACTCTAAAGCTTCCTCCTACCGTTATGTATTCAAGATGGACAGTGATTAATATTTATATGTTATATGTAAGTGTGTGGGTCTATACATATGTTGTATATAGTATGTTTAAATGTGTGTTATGTATGTGTACACTTTGAGAGCAAGCAACTAAATTTCATTTTTAATGTGTGCCATTGCGCCCACAGTAAAAAATGACAATAAAGGTTATCTATCTGTCTGTCTGTCTATTTGTCTGTCTATCTAAATTTTTGCAAAATTATTTTCAGTCTTTCAGCTAAAATCGTAATCAACTTTGTAGTAATCAACATTATAGTATTGATTGTAGTTTGTTGCCAAAGTCAAATTTATCCCTCTTCAGGCATTAATATTATATTAGCTTCTTTCCAACTCTCTTGTCATTTTTCTTCCCTGTAAAATAGAGTTCTCAGTGCTTTGTTGAGGTTGTAAACATTTATCCTTGAAACCCTTATAATGCCGCCTCAATAACTCATCTGGTCCAGGCTTAGTAGCTTCTTAACATTGTATCTTCCACGAATGTGACCTTACCATAATGGCATTCCTCCTAAGCTACACACCAGAAACTCCTCTTCTTAAATATCATGTCAGCTTTAAAACTTGCCTGCCCTGAGCATTTTGTTTTCCTAAGTACAGGCTGCATTTGGTTACACGGAAGAAATAGAACTCTACTTAAAATGAATCGCTATAAGTAAGCCACTTGGTGAAATGAGATGTGAAGATCAAGTGAACGGCACATGGCTTTGGGGAAATGGTGTCCCTTCACCTTTGTTCCTTCCTTTTTCTGTCCCTCCATCAATTACAGAAATGGCTCTCATGAGCCTCTCAGTTGAGAGGAGTCCTCTTCTCCAGGCCCAGCATGCCCATCAAGTATAACCTATGCGTGCAATGTCAGGCATGCAGTTTTCATAACGTTCTGCATTTCACGAGCATGGCCTTTATTTCATACCCAAACTAAGCATGAGCCTCTTCTCCTTTAAAGGTACAAATTACTACATGTCCTGGACTTTGATGCCAATCGTAGGAGAATGAGTGTGATCGTAGAAAGTCCATCAGGTAAGATTTTTTTTTTTTTAAAAAAAATGATGCTTTTGATGTTATGTATTCTCCGACCCCCTAAAACCAGTTCTATAAAAGGAACATGAATAGCCTCAGATAAGCACTACTAACTTGTATTTTTTTTGTTTTCATGGATAGGTGAAAAGCTTTTATTTACCAAAGGAGCAGAATCTGTTATTCTTCCTTCCAGTAAAAATGGTGAGGTAGAAAAAACAAGAATCCATGTGGATGAATTTGCATTGGTATGTCAGAGCCTGTTTTCAAACTTTTTGATAGAAAATCAGTGTTTCTCAACCTTGACAATTTTAAGGCATGTGGACTTCAACTCCCAGAATTCCACAGCCAGCATTGCTGGCTGTGGAATTCTGGGAGTTGAAGTCCACATGCCTTAAAATTGTCAAGGTTGAGAAACACTGTGATAGATCGTGGTAGAGGTGCTGCTAAATCAGGGGTGGGGAACTACGGCCCTTTTATGGCCTGTGGGCTTCAACTCCCAGAATTGAAGTCCATAGTTGAATTGAAGGGCCATAGTTCCTCACCCTTGTGCTAAATTAAGAAGCAATTATTACTGTAACAAATATAATGATACTATAATAAACAGTACAATGTATAATATTTCAGATCCTTTAAGTGTGTGGGTTAAGAACTGGTTGAAGTATGTGTTGGGCATCGATGGGCAATTTTATTCAGAGTGCTTTGGCTTGAGATCCTGGGATAGCTACCTGACGCCGACCCTATTTATGGATTTTGTTTATAAAGCTAGGGCTGATGGGAGTGTCTTGATTTTACCACAGACTTTCCCATCAGCCCCAGCTTTTATGTTCAGGGATCATAGGAACTGTGGTCAAAACATCTTGAGAGAATGGCATTTGGAAAAATAAACCATTTCAGCTTCTTCAGACCATGAGCCTTTCTCTACTTCCCTCTCTTCCTTCTATTTCTCCCTATAACCAGTTGCCTCTGATTCAAGTAGCGCCTTTTTCTCCCAGAGAGGAGAATCTCTTCATCGCCTTCCAAAATTAGCATTATTTGACAAGCTACAGACCACATCTGTCCTTGAACTTTGGTCTGTTTTGCTTGGTTCCATCCTCTTCCATTAATGGGAGTAAAACTGAAGATGCCTTGTCAAAAAAGGCACTTTTGGGGAGATCTAAACTGTCAGGACTTTCATTTCATGAAGCAGTACACTCCATCAGTAAGCAAACATTTTTGTCAGTGTCCTATCTAATAATCACTTTCTATTCTTTTCACAGAAAGGATTAAGAATTCTTTGTGTAGCTTACAGAAAATTCACAGAGGAGGAGTATAAAGAGGTGCAGCAGCGTCTTTTTGAAGCAAAAACTGCCTTACAGCAACGAGAAGAACGGGTGGCAGAGGCATATAACTTTATTGAAAAAGACTTGGAATTACTTGGAGCTACAGGAGTAGAAGACAAGTATATACTTCCTGTTTGGTTTATTTGGGAAAGAAATTCTGGCACAGACTAGCTCGATGCTCGTTCTTTTCTCCATAAATAGCAGTGTGTGTGATACATATAATTTTTCCCATCAGCATAAAGAAGGAAGATGGCAATTGGAGCCACAGCGCCCAGCCTTGTGTGAATTAGTACAGATAGTCCTCAGCTTAACAACCACGCGTTTAATGATCATTCGAAATTACAACAGCACTGAAAAAAGGAACTTATGACCATTTTTCACACCTGTGACCCCGGCAACATCCCCGTGGTCACATGATCAAAATTCGGATGCTTGGAAACTGGCTTATATTTATGACAGTTGCAGTATCCCAGAGGTCAGGTGATCACTTTTTGCAACTTTCTGACAAGCCAATCAGTGAGAAATCCAGGATTCACTCAACATTCATGTTACCAATTCACTTAACAACTATGGGAAGAAAAGTGGTAAAATGGGGCAAAACTCACTTAACTGTCTTGCTTAACAACAGAAATTTGGGGCTCAATTGTGGTCATAAGTCAAGGACTACCCGTATCCTATTGAACATGTTGCACTTCAAAGAGGAAAAGCTTTGTAGTTGCCACCCCACAACCATAAGATGAATTAGGAAGGTGGCAATTAGTATTTAACAGGCCCAGTATGTGATTACTGTTTAAAAAGGATTAGTGTGGTGAGACTGGGAATTGATACAGATAGAAAATAATATTTGTAGCTCAGAGTTGGGACTGTGGAGTCCTTGTTGCTTTCTAAGTTTAGATGTCTGAGTGGAACCTCTGCGAGAAAACAGCCAAGCTCAGAAGGCAACTAGGACTCTACTGGGAATTGAGACTATTAAGGTTTAGCTTGCATTAACCAGCGTGTTCCCTGTGACATGAAATCTGACCTGTAGCAGGGGTGACCATCCTATTGGTGGCCTAGATGTGTTTTATACTACATAAAGTAACAGTGTGAGTAAAATTCAATTCTCGGTGACATTTTCTTCACCACAGTGTGCAAGTAGTTTGCCCCAGTATTCTTTGGGAATACTTTTTTTGTAGCTACCTAGTCTAGCTTATACTGTAGGGTTTCCTGGTGATCTCCTAGTCAGGGGTAGGCAACCTTGGCTCTTTCATGACTTGTGGACTTCAACTCCTATTGGTGGCCTAGATGTGTTTTATACTACATAAAGTAACAGTGTGAGTAAAATTCAATTCTCGGTGACATTTTCTTCACCACAGTGTGCAAGTAGTTTGCCCCAGCATTCTTTGGGAATACTTTTTTTGTAGCTACCTAGTCTAGCTTATACTGTAGGGTTTCCTGGTGATCTCCTAGTCAGGGGTAGGCAACCTTGGCTCTTTCATGACTCGTGGACTTCAACTCCCAGAATTCCTGAGCCAGCCATGCTGAGGGGAAAGGGAAAGGTTTCCAAGCTGAGCCATGCTGGCTCAGGAATTCTGGGAGTTGAAGTCCACGAGTCATAAAAGAGCCAAGGTTGCCCACCCGTGTCCTAGGTCCTTCCTACTTTTCTTTTCTTCAAAATCAACCAAAGTCACTAGATGTCACTTCCCACTGTTGGGCTTGTTAAAAATGAACGTAGTTTCTTCAGTTGTTGCTTCTTGGAATAAGCCTGAATATGGAAATAGCTTGATGTAAACACCAAGTTTGAGAAAAGCATTGGATGCTTAGACATGAAATATCCAAAGCTGAAATAGTGCTTGAATATAAATATCCAGTGGTCGGAAGGCATACCTTTCGATCTTCTCCATTAATAGTAAAAACAGGTAACCTCCACAAAATCAAAAATCAGAAGGAACCTGTAGCTCCCTTTCTGACAAACATAATTTATTCTAAGGGATAAGCTTTCCTGAACTACAGTTCACATCATCACATCCATCTTCATCAGCTGTAATCATCTTTGAGTAAAATTTGTTAGTCTGGAAAGAAGCTATCAGAATCTTTCTGATTTTGGACTAACGGGTATGCTACAATGTCCAAGCAGAGACGTTTATGATCCTGACCAATGAATTCTGATATTGTTCACCAATGCAATTTGTTCACTTTCAGGCTGCAAGATAAAGTCCAGGAAACCATAGAAGCTCTTCGCTTGGCAGGGATTAAAGTGTGGGTGCTCACGGGAGACAAACATGAAACAGCAGTAAGCGTCAGCTTATCATGTGGACACTTCCACAGAACCATGAATATCCTGGAACTAGTGCAACACAAATCAGATAGCACGTGTGCAGAGCAACTGAGACAGCTTGCTAAGAGGTAAAACCTTGCACATTTCTGGTGATGTCAACCGCCTCTGATGGGGAACCGAGGTTTCTAAAATAGTTCCCCCAAGAAACTGTCAGGGGAGCTCAAAATCAAAATTATGTGCCAGCCTATATTTAAAAATGATACAGTATTAAAATCCTATCAAGCAATTGTGAGAAATGGCAGCAGCAGTAAATGCATCCGTTTTAATTTTTAATATGGCAGACATCGATAAATGTAACCCATACAATGAAAAGCTCTTTTGGGGCCCTCCATAATTTTTCTGTTGTTCAAAATATTCCAAAATAACCAACACAGTTCTAGCATTGGAGTCCTGAGAGAAAAAACAGTTAAGAAACACTGTTCTAAAAGATTCCAACATTCTTTTTTGTTTTTCAATAGAGACCTGACTTTAAGCTAGGAAAAACTTGGTTTTGAACTACAAATAAGTTGTGTTGGCATTAGCAACAATACTCTAAGCTCAACCTGGCCCCATTTTGAACTTGGAGCACTTCTAGAATGGTTGAAAACAACATCGAGGATACTTGTGATCAGCTCAGAACAACAAAAACAAAGCACTTCCAACTCGAAATGTTGTTTCGCATTACTAGCAGAATTTTCCAGTATGAAAATAAAGCAATCCTATTCCATCATCATCTTCGCTACAAAATGAGCATACAAGATGCTAATGAGCCTGCTGCTTAGCAGGTGGGAAGGGCTCCTAGTTCAGCCCGTTCTCATTGTCTGTAGTTGTTCTTAAAGCACTTGATGTGTCTTGACTGGTGGCCTTCATGAAACAATAACGGATTTGTTTCTCCCGTTTTTCTCCCTCCTTTGTTAGAATAAAGGACGACCACGTAATCCAGCACGGGCTGGTAGTGGATGGGACCAGCCTCTCCCTGGCCCTCAGGCAACATGAGAAACTCTTCATGGAGGTCTGCCGAAATTGCTCTGCTGTGCTCTGCTGTCGTATGGCACCTCTGCAGAAAGCCAAGGTGTGAATGAACAGGAGCTCATGGAGGTTGTGCGTCAGCCGTGTTTGGCTGTTATAACCTGCCACAGCCTCTCTCAACCTTCCTGTTTCAAGCTGAGTTTAGAACAGCGGTTCTCAACCTATGGGTCGCGACCCCATTTGGGGTCGAACGACCATTTTACGGGGGTCGCCAAACAACGCGATCCGCCATTTTTCCCCCTCAGGGGCCGGCGCCGCGCATGGGGCCGGCGCCGCGCATGCACACCATGCATGGGAGTGGCACCACGCATGCGCGCTGCGCATGCGTGCCGTGCCGCGCATGTGCGCCGTGTCCGTGTGACGGGGGTCGCCATCACACAAAGGTTGAGAACCGCTGGTTTAGAAGGATTGAGGGTTCTGCCTAATGACATCTGTCTACCTGACTACAAAATAGACAGGCAGTAGGGCTTGCTATTGACTGCCTTGTTCTATGACTAGCATGTGCTCTTAGGTGTACAGGCTGTCCTCAACTTTGAACGGTTTAGTGACAGTTCAAAGTTACAACAGCACTGAAGAAAGTGACTTATGACTGGTTTTCACACTTATGACCGTTGCAGCATGCCTATGGTCACGTGATCAGAATTCAGACATTTGGCAACTGGTTCATATTTATGAAAATTGTAATGTCCCGGGGTCATGTGATCCCCTTTTGGGAAATTCTGACAAGTCAGTTGGGAAGCCAGATTCACTTAACAACCATGTTACTAACCTAATAGCGGCAGTGATTCTCTTAAGAACTGCGGCAAGCAAGGTTATAAAGTGGGGCAAAACTCACTTAAAAACTGTCTCACTTAGCAACATAAATTTTGGGTTCAACTGTCATTATAAGTTGAAGACTATCTGTACCCAAAGTACGCCAACATTTCCCAGCTAGTCAGCAATTGGTGTAGCAATTCCTTTCAGCCAGTATGTACTGTTTAATAAACACTGCAGTGAGCCTTAATTATTTGCTTTGGGGTCCTGCATTTGATTCCATACAGTGAGCATGTGAGAAATGCTGGGAGCTAAAATTTAGCAGAAGGGGAGAAGCTCCCTATCTCTGATACAGAAGATGTGCCGTCCTTTTCTCTAAAATAGCTTTCCTGGGATTTTAAGAGAAGAAGCCAAGTAAACTAGCATTTTAGTTATGCGCCATATTTGCTTTGAGGGGGAAAAAAAATCTAGCTGTATTTGGATGGCGTTTTAGATCAGGAAACACTAAGTCTAGATCAAAGCCAATGTTCCTTCAATCAGTTTTCAGTGGAAATAAATTCTCAACTTGTTGGAAAGAGACAGTTTTAATCTCTGAATTGTTTTCTATCCATTAGAAAATGTTTTGGTTAAATGTTTGAATTTTAAGCATTGCCTTCTCTTGAGTTTGTTGAGAAACCTCAATGTCTCAAATCACTGATTCCCAAATAATGTCAGTTTTGTTTTAAAGAAGTCTGTCTTCCTTTTACAGGTTGTACGGCTGCTGAAAACATCTCCAGAGAAGCCTATCACATTAGCTATCGGTGATGGAGCTAATGATGTGAGCATGATACAAGAAGCACATGTTGGCATAGGTAATATTTAGGTGATGGTCAGAGTCTCACTGTATTTAAACTTCATTAATTGGGATTACAATGGGTATCATCTCTACAAATGAAAAAGTAATAAACTAAGTTCTGTGTATACAGGAGCCTTTCAGTTAAATAAAATAATAAGTAAAAGATATTTAAATAAACAAAGCATCTTTACATCCAGCTTGCCAACCAGGAATGGCTTTATGATTGCATCTTCTCAGTTGCAAACATTTTCTTTGAAATTTAGTTGTAATTGTTAATTCTTAGATTATAATTTTGTTTTTCTTTTAATCGTCTTAATGTCAGATGGAAATGCAGGCCACTCGAAATCTTTTCAGATTCATTAGAATTATAAGCCAAGTAAGTAAATAAATTAATAACACCACACATTCTGCAACTTGATGTCCTCTAAATATGCTGTGAGTGTTAATGCTGGCTAAGTATATACTAATAGCCTATTTGAAGGAACCTAAGTTAGTAAAGAAAGTAGGAATAATTGTTATTTTTTCTATGGGAATTGGTGGCTTGCCACTGCTTCCAAGCAGCTTTCTCTAGAGCAGAGAAAATGTAGCATGGGGTCCTCGAGATCCTTTCAAGTGTCTGCAAAATCAAGTAAATATGCTAATATTTCTCAGTTTTAATTTCGAATATAATATCGGTACATACTGATCCACATAAACCAAAGCTCTCTGTGACTCTCAGTCATTTTTAATAAAGAAAATTGGTTCTGAGACCAAAATGTTTGAGAACCACTAATCTGGAGCAGGATAGTAGATGGTGAGGATGGCTATTGGTAGAAGTATGTTCCCTCCCCCAAAAAAATATTTCTTTCATGAAAAAAGAAATTGGTTATGTACTTCGGCAATAGAAAATATTTACTCATGTTTACAATCTTTTTTTAGTTGTGGAATAAAAGGTGTGCTCTTATCTGCTCAGGTCTCCTTTAAATCTCCAAACAGCATACTAAAAGGCTGAATCTTCTGTTATTGTTGTACATGTTGTTTCACTTTGACTTACATGTGTCACTTAGAAAGACAAGTTATTTTTGTTATTTTTGCTTATCCAAATTGCAGGTATCATGGGCAAAGAAGGCAGACAAGCTGTAAGAAACAGTGACTATGCAATAGCAAGATTTAAATTCCTCTCCAAGTTACTTTTTGTCCATGGCCACCTTTATTATGTTAGGATAGCAACCCTTGTACAGTACTTTTTTTACAAGGTAAGTATCTGTAGCCTATAATTGGGGATTCTTTTAGCTCAGAACTTTTTCTTTTTTTTTCTAATGTTTACAAGGGTGATATTTAAAAAGAGGTATTGTAGAAACTGAATCTACTTCTATCTCATTGTTGATACCAGCATTTTCCCAAATTTTATTTCAAGCCCCAGCATTAACAATGACAGCATATTAACCATACTAAGACATTATGGGTAGCCTACATGTTCTATGCATCTGCTTATGCAGGAATGCATGCACAAATGTCTCCATCCTATTCATTTTCCTGATTCCCTTAATTATATTGAATGTAGGTGACACAAACAAAAGAATCCAGGTGGAATTCTGTATCTAACATTTCACCCCATCTTTCCTTATTGTTCTAGAGCAGTGTTTCCCAAACTTGACAATTTTAAGGCGTGAGGACTTCAACTCTCAGAATTCCACAGCCAGCGTTGCTGGCTGTGGAATTCTGGGAGTTGAAGTCCTCACGCCTTAAAATTGTCAAGTTTGGGAAACACTGTTCTAGAGATATATTATAGCATTCTACAAAGTACTTTTTAAAGTGAACTATAAACATGGAGACTTGGTCTCTAGGAAAAACAACCTTTGAATGTAGACGCGTAGTCCTCAGCTTTTGACTACAATTGGGACTAGAATTTCAATTGCTAGGCAAGGCAGTTGTTAAGTGAGTTGTGCCCAATTTTGCACAACTCACTTTTTTTTTGCCATGGTTGCTAAACGAATCACTGCAGTTGTTAAGTGAAGCTTCTGGTCATTAGGCACATCTAGCTTCCCCTGCTGAGTTTGCTTGTCAGAAACTGGGAAGATTCCAAATGGCCATCATATGACACTGAGATGCTGCAACCATCCTAAATGCTAGTTGCCAAGCATCTGGATTTTAATCACATGATCACGGGGATGCTGCAATGGTCATACGTGTGAGGTCCAGTCATATATCACTTTTTAATGCCATTGTAACTTGGAACAGTTGCTACATGGATGGCTGTAACACAAGGACTACCTGTAAAGTTTTTGCTTGATAATATTCAGTAGGAGCTCTTATCGCCTTCCGCTAACTTGCTGCTCATTTCTTCACTTCCAAGCCAAACACATCTGCAGTAAAACTATTTTCTTGTAAACCAACTTTTAATCATGGTTGCAATCTAGATTATAAACAGGTTGTGATCTCTTTTGATGTGCACGTCATCCAGATCGTAGTTTAAAGGCAAAGTGAGATGAGAGCAGTCTGGCGAGGTGTCAGGAAAAAAAAAAGGACACGATTTCCATTTCAGGCAAGGAGTCACGGAGCTTCTAAGTCTGAAGTGGATTAGGGTGATGGTATTAGTGAAGACTGCTTCATTGGTTGTGACAGTGATGGAAGCTGAGGTGCCTTGTGGGAGAATTTTCTCTCCACTGCTTCCTTCAGAGAGTTTAATTCCAGTCAGTGATATCATTATCCATCAGGAAGATGAGTCTCAGTAGACAGGATTGTTTTACTTCAGGGGTCTTCAAACTTGGCCCTTTTATGACTTGTGGACTTCAACTCCCAGAATTCCTCAGCCAGGCATGCGTGCCTGGCTGAGGAATTCTGGGAGTTGTAGTCCACAAGTCATAAAAAGGCCAAGTTTGAAGACCCCTGTTTTACTTCTTTACTTTTTCTGATATTCAAGATATGTTTGGATGAGTATGACAGAATTTGGTGTTTTATGTTTCTTAACTGGTTGCATCACATCTTGTTTTCCAGAATGTGTGTTTTATTACGCCACAGTTTTTATATCAATTCTTCTGTTTATTTTCACAACAAGTGAGTAGTCAACTGGGTTTTTTTTATTCTACTCCTCTTTCTGTCTTCATAGTCTGATTTGTAGGCAACCATTACTAACAGCTAGATCAGGCATGTCAAACTCGTGACGTCGCGCGACGTATGGCAACTTTTTCCCCATTGCTGGCAATGGGGTGGGCGCAGTTTTGGCGTGACGCATCCGACCTGCGGGCCAGCAGTTTGACAGGCTGAGCTAGATGGTGTTTCATTAGCATCTGTTTCTCCATCCCTATTCTGTCTGCAAAAATGGATCTAAGAGCAATCCCATTTCTTGTGGGGAAGCATTTTATTGTTAGGAAGTCATAAAGATAAAAATTGAAAGTTGTGTTAAAGAGTTCCATGCGGAATAAGAATTTAGTCAAAGTAATATTTACCTTTGGATAATGCTGATTAGTTGCTAATTTTTTTCTATGTTACAAAGCCAAAAGCACTTTTAAAAATGGGTTTCATTTTATATCTGGGAGACAAGTGACAGTTATAGCTAGGTATATTTAAATGTATATCAGTTTAAATTTAAGATTTAAATTTAAGATGCGCTGTACTCAGATTATCCATAGCCAGTAATGTTTGTCCTTTCTTGCATTTCTGAAATTAATTGCTCTTACTATATATATAGTAAGAGCAAATAAAACCTAGTAAAGACTATTGATAATCCTGATTGGCCCCATTTAAGAATGATTAGTGATTGAGTCCTATCGCAGGCTGATTTTCCTACCTCCAAATTCAGTATTTTAAGTATTATTCTAAACAGGCAATAATAATATGAAATTAAAAAGTGGGCTGACTGAAAAGAAGTTGGGCAACACTCAAGCAGAAGGAGTTTTTGTCTCAAGTGAAGAATAAGATGATAGCAAATGCCCACCCCACCTTCCTTGCAAACTACTTCAGTTCTTATTTTTCTTCTACATGGATCGTGGGATGGTCTGCACTGAATTTGGTGACAAGTCGCTTCCTGCTTCAATAAGGAAAAAAACCTTTAACCAATAAGGACACAGACCTTTTCTTGACCACTCAGCATCTATCATCTAATGCAGCGTTTCTCAGTCTGGGCAGCTTTAAGATGTAGGGAGTTCAGTTCCCAGCATTCCTCAGCCAGCAATGCTGGGAATGGAAGCCCACACACCTTAAAAGTTGTCCAGGTTGAGAAACACAGACATAAAGTGACTATTATGATAGCCTTGCCCAATGTTAAAGCCTCTTCTCCTCCCTGATACATACACACAGAGAGAGAGAGAGCATTTTCCAAGTTGATGTTCTTTTTTATACCTTTTTGGATGTTGCACCAAAGAACTTCTGTTAACCCATACTTAGCTAGAATTAAACACAACATTTCCTGTTCTTTCAAGACTTCTCTACACTGATATTTTTTTAAAAAAGAATGTTAAGACTATTCGCGTTTGAGAGGGAGAAAAAGAAATTTAAGTACGGTATGGAAGGAGTTTGTAATAATTCTTTATAGTTGTACAGCTTCAAGTCACAGAAACTGGCTTTCTTGCATTCCTTTGTTAATGTTACCATAATAAAACAGACATTTAGATCTGGTTGTTGTTTTTTTGCTGAATTCTCCGTATATGGGTTTTAAAACAATTCTCCCCCTTTCTCACCTTTCAGACTCTGTATGACAGCGTGTACCTAACTTTGTACAACATTTGTTTCACATCCCTTCCAGTCCTCATGTATAGTCTTTTTGAACAGCATGTGCATCCTCATGTATTGCACAGCAAGCCAACACTCTACCGGTAAGCATAAGTCTTTTCAAGGGAGGGTTTTGCTTGGTAAGACACAAGTTGTATGGCTCCTCCTACTCAAAAACCACTTGTTAGAGACCCAAAGGGTGCTGGGTTTTAAAGTCTAGGTCAGGGGTAGGCAACTTTGCCTCTTTTATACTCGTGGACTTCAACTCCCAGAATTCCTGAGCCAGCCATGCTGAGGGGAAAGGGAGAGGTTTCCAAGCTGAGCCATGCTGGCTCAGGAATTCTGGGAGTTGAAGTCCACAAGTCATAAAAGAGCCAAGGTTGCCTACCTCTGGTCTAGGTTGTTTATAGAAAAACTAATACTAATTTGATATATTAGAGGAGTCCCTGTGCTGCTAAGCCAGTGGTTCTCAACCAGTGGGTTGGGACCCCATTGGGGTCGAATGACCATTTCACGGGGGTCGCCAAACCACGCTGTCCGCCATTTTTTCCCTTTTCCCTAGCTGTCCTACTCCCTCTTATTGGTGGCCACACCCACTTGGGGGTCACCACAACATGGGGAACTGTATTATGGGGTCACGGCATTAGAAAGGTTGAGAACCACTGTGCTAAGCCATGATGGAGCATATTCTTTATATCGTAAGTATTTAGGGTCGGTTCTACCATCTTCAGTTAATGAGTTTGTTATTTTATTTTATTATTTTATTTTATTTTCCTCCTCACCCATCTCATAGCAAAACGACTATGGGTGGCTTCCAGAATTAAAACAGTAAAATCCTAACAAATACCTTAAAAAAATAGAAATAGAAATCCCAATCAAGGTAAAACATAGTTAAAATAAAGTGGAGGCAGGGAAGAGGATGCAGGGGTGGGATTGCCTCTTAATCCAATAACCATCTCCAGTGTGATGGTCCTCCATTAGGGCCCCCACCATCTGGCAGAGCCAGGTCTTCAGGCCCCTGCAGGAGGATAGAAAGATGGGAGGCAATTTTACCTCAGGAGGCAAGATGTTCCAAAGAGTTTCTGGAAGCAGAGCCAGAAATTGCTCTGGCTGGGATATGGATAACCCTTACAAGGTAGAGAAGAAGACACTATACTAAGGATCAGAGTATAGAAAGCAGGGGGCGTTCAAACTGGTTGTTCACATAATTTTAGAGGCCCTTTGCAAGCAGTTAGCTTAACACTCTGAGGAAAGATGTCTGTGGAGATTCTCAGTCATCCAGGTCGTAGTTGTCTCAAACGTGCTTTTTCAAAAGGCAACTGGATTGTTTCTTTCCTTGAGGAAGAAGAACCAAACATTTCATTCCTCATCCCAAAAGCTTCAGTTGTAATGGTGAGGGGGGTGGGACTGGAAGGCTAGGTACTAACAGTTGGGACCGGGATGGTAGGGGAATGAAAGGATAGGTTTTGACCAGATGGTGCATCACAGTAATTTCCATTCCTTTGAAAATAGCTGCCAGAGCAATGTATCTTTTTTTCATTTCTTTCTACAGAGATATTAGTAAAAATGCCCACTTGGGCTTTCAGCCTTTCCTCTACTGGACCTTCTTGGGATTTTTTCATGCATTTGCTTTCTTCTTTGGTTCCTATCTTCTAATGGGAAAAGACACTTCATTGTTAGGAAATGGCCAGGTAAAGTAGAATGCTAATCTATTATGAAAACTGTATTGTGGGGAATGTAATGTGCTATGTAAACTAAATCATTGTAAAACATATATCAGCCAGAAGTGTTTGTGCTTTCTTAATATCTTCTTAACATAGCTATTGAGATCCAAATTTCCTTGAAAAAGAACTGAACTTTAATTACCTGGAGAAAAACTAAGTATTATGTAAATTGAAATACCAAAAAGTTGGATATTAACTCTGAGGTTTCAGGAACTGACTGTCAACTGCTCATATTTCTGTTTTATATTCTGTGTGGTGTACTTCCTCTGGATTTCTCCACACAAATTTGCAACCAGAGGATTGGGTGCCCTAGTTATTTATTGACAGTTTATGAATAAGCATCTTCTGAAAATGACCAGAACTGAGCAAAAACCTGTTTCCCACATCCCTTATTTGACTTACTTGTAATCTGTTATACTTCAGTTACACAACTATCTAACATATCCTGGGTGGACCTGGTTTTGTCTCATTGTGTGGGCACAGTCAGGAATCTGGGATAGTCTAACCACAGTCTGCTATTTTTAGCTGGAGTACAAAAGTACACCATGGGTTAACTCTTAATTTCAGCATAGCTGGCATGCAGGAAGAAAGAATCCACATTGTTATGTGTGAATTCTGTGGGTTGGTTTAGCTTTGCACTGTAATGGCTGTATACTACAATTTTGCACTTTTAGTTTCCTTCTAACCTACCCCTTTTTTTCATGCTGTGCATGTCATCAGCTACTCAAACCTAACAGGCAAATGGTAAGATTTTATGTTGTAGGATAAAAGACATGCAGACGCTAAATGCAGTACCTTTGTAGCCGTGTTCAAGAATGTATCGCTCATTCTCCTTGAACACATTAGGAGAAACTGATTGGAAGAGCTTTCCAGTCCTTCTCGTTCTAAGTGGACAACTAATAGTGTTCAAGGAAAGGTTCTTGTGTATTAGTGAAATGTTGCCAAGTTACGTGCTTTTTGTCTTCAGTCTCTTCCCCCCCCCCCGCCCGCCTTTCTACAAACACAATCTTCATGCAGATTGTGGGTGGTTTGGGGTGTTTACCAGAATCTTCTCCTCTTCCACCTCTAGCAGTCTCCATGGCAAACACCTACTAATTAATAGTGTTGCTTTCTGCCAGCTTAAAGAAAGCTCTTTGCAGACAACCCATCTTTACGTGAAGGGGACTTGCATCCTCAGCTGTTCACCAAGCCTAGATTTTTCCCAGTTCTCAGGATTTTCAATTGCCTGGTTGCAGATAGCTGTCCAAGAAAAAGAGAATTAAAAAAGGATCAACATGCTGTTAATAGGTACAAAGTGAGAGGACAGCACTGCTATTGAGGATGGAATTTGCTTCTTCCTTGTGGGCTGGGCTGGGCTCTTTTGCAGGGAAACTCGGATAACCTTTCTGTTGAGCTGTGTATCAAAATCCCTTTTCTGGCGTGGAATAATTTCAGTTTTAAAATGTCTTCTTTAGAATGTAGTGCAATAAATGAATGTAATACAGTTAGTGGATGCTCTTTTCCCCACAACCATACTTATACTGGATTTTTTTTCTGTAGGATCTGTATTTATCAAGTTGAGGCTTCCTATACCATTACAACACAAACAAGCAGAATAACTACATTTTAATCACCCGTAAACTAAAAATAATTCATGAAATGAGGAGAAACAATATTTAACACAGTCTAGCTCTTTCAAGAAATAAGTGCATAAGTCTAGATCAGCGGTTCTCAACCTATGGGTCGCGACCCCATTTGGGGTTGATCGACCATTTTACGGGGGTCGCGGAACAACGCAATCCGCCATTTTTCCCCCCAGGGGGTGGCGCCACGCATGCGCGTCGCGTTCGTGTGACGGGGTCGCCGTCACACGAAGATTGAGAATCGCTGGTCTAGATTTTCCATGAAATGGGGTAAAGGAAATACCAGATTTTTGTGGGTGACACTAAATTGGGTGAGATAACCAGTACTCTAGAAAGAAAGCAATTAGATTCAAAATGAGACATGAGCTGAAAAATTACACAGAAATCTAACAGGGACAACTGCATTTTTTTTTTACCGAAGAAGTAGAAATTCATTTATTTATTGGCTTGTTTTGTCTTTTGCCCTACTGATTTTACTAAGTTGTTCTAAATGGGCAAGTGTTCATTTGAGCATCTGATAGGTCTAGCTCAGGGGTCTGCAACCTTAAACACTCAAAGAGCCACTTGGACCTGTTTCCAAGAGAAAAGAAAACACGTGGAGCCGCAAAACTCTCTTTCTCTCTTTCCTCTCCCTCCCTTTCTCTCTTTCCTCTCTCTCTCTTTCTCTCTCTCTCTTTCCTCTCCCTCCTCTCTCCCTCTCTCTTTTTTTATGTCTTTCTCCCTCTCTCTCTCCCTCTCTTTTTTTCTCTCTCACTCTCTTTCCTCTTTCTCTCTCTCTCTTTCCTTTCTCTCTCTCTCTTTCTCTCTCTCTCTTCCCTCCCCTCTTCCTCTCTCCGATCTTCTGCTCACCTAGCAAGGTGGCTTCAGGCTGTTCTCCAACAAGCTGACACACATTATTGGGCTGGCTCTCTCCTGCCCTTCCTGCTTCTTGCAGAGACACAGCAAAGGGAGGAGTCCCGCCCAATAAGCTTGTCAGCTTGTCGGAGAACAGCGTGAGGCCACTCTCTTTTGCCACTCTCTTTTTTTACACACACACACGCACACACAGAGAGAGAGGGAGGGAGGGAGGGAGGGAGGGGGGAAGCTTAAGTGCCTCTCTCTGTCTCTGTCTCTCCCAGGAGGCTGGGAGCCACAGGAGAAGGCTCAAAGAGCCACATGCGGCTCCGGAGCTGCGGGTTACCAACCCGTGGTCTAGCTTGTTAGCTAACTGTGTTGCCTCTTAGGTGTCTTCCATCTAATTAAATTTCTTGTTTTCCTTTTTAGATGTTTGGAAATTGGACCTTTGGTACTCTGGTCTTCACAGTTATGGTTATAACGGTTACAATGAAGGTACTGCAGTGCATTTATGATTTTGCTTTCTAAGCTATTTTTAATTGTCTTTAACAACAGTCTGAGATCAATGCTGGAGCGATTTGACTATATTTAACTGGAAGAGTTCAATTAATATTGAAACCCATCAGTTTTGTTTGTGTTGGGATTTTCCTAACTGAAAACTCCCAATGTCAGTGAGGTTGTATTCTTCCAAACTCAAGTTTTCTGAGACCAAATTATTTATTCAAGCGAGGTCAAAAGAAGCTTCTTTGTCTTTAAACCCAGCTATGAAGAACTCCTCATCTGGAGAAAAAAAACATAGGCTCAAGAAAGTCCAGAAGTTAGTGCCAAGAGAATACTTTGATGCCTGAACAGATGCCTTATTATTGTTGATCACACAATCAACAACGTTTTTACTGTTTTAATTGTAATATATGTTTTGAACCGTGATCCACTGAGAGTTATTTGCTGAGGTGGATGGTTTTTTATATATATATAATTGAATAAAACCAGATGTTTAGATTGAATTTTGCATTGTTATACACCTACTGAGTCCTTCCCAAGGACAGAGTCAGCTATATTCCACCATGATCGTTTGATCAAGAACTGCCCTTTTTTTTTCAGTTGACCAGCGTAAAAGTCAGCTACAGGGAAGAAGCCATTCACGTGCAGAACCAAAATTGTGTTAGGGGTTTCAGAACTAAGGTTGTGCACAGCTTGGATTTAGAATACCAGTTCTCAATAAAACATATAAAGTTAATTTGGTGTAGCAGTTAAGACATCAGGCTAGAAACCAGGAGACAGGCCAGAAACTGGGATGCTCTGAGTTCTAGTGTCACCTTAGGCACCAAACTAGCTATGTAACCTTGGGCCAGTCCTTTCTCAGCCCTGGGAAGCAGCCAGTGGCAAACCACTGCTGAAATCTCGCCCAGGAAACTGCAAGACTTGTCCAGACAGTTGCCAGCAGTCAGCACTGACTTAAAAGTACAAACAAACAAAAATAATAAAACATGCAATGTTTTCACAGGCCTTAACTTTGTAATTACTTGTTTATTAAGAGATACAATTTTCTTTTTGTGTGTGTGTGCATAGATGGCAATAGAAACCCACTTTTGGACTTGGATAAATCATTTTGTTACTTGGGGATCCATTGTGTTTTACTTCATCTTTTCCTTATTCTATGGTGGAATAATCTGGTAAGTAGTTAGTGTACCCAAACAGAAGAGTAGCGAAATATTGCTGCCTTAAATTCTTGCCATCAACAAAACCATGTTTGGACCTGTAAGCAGGCTGTGACCAGTGACGCATGTGTTTGTGTGTACACACATGGTGCATACGTATGCACACAAAACTTGTATTGCTGCATTTTTCTGAGCAGCTAGACTAACAATCCGGCACACAAGATGAAAAGAATAATAAAAAATAGAAATACTGTCGTGTTACCCATGTGTTGTTCATTTAGCAGGGCTTTGTTGTTCTGTAGTGGCCCTTCTTTGTTGCCCAAACTTGAAGATGCAGTTTTAATTCTACTTCAAAATAGAATTTGACATAGTATCAGAGATGGATGATCACATCAAACAGCGGTAGCTTTTACACAGGCAATCTACTATGTTTATAAAGAGGGAACAAACTCCACATTCGCTAGCACTAATGATATTACCTAGTTGGGTAATGAAACGTCTACAAGCAAAGAACCAAGTCACAACGTACCAAGCACCCCAGAATTCAACCTTGAGTTACATGTTTTCTCTTTTTGGAGGAAAGGCAGGAAATAAATCTTAAAGGAACAAATAAATAATTGATTATTTCAATGTCCCATTTTTCAAATCTATGAAAGCCAAAACTTCTGCCAGATTAATTTTTAGAGAAATGGATAAAAAGCTGATGCCTCCAGAATTTTAGAGCTTAACTGTACATGCTGACATAGCTTTCAAAACGCAAAATACAATTATCAATTTACTAGTGGACAGTATTAAAAATAATAATGTATTTGGAATGTACTTCTCCTTTTTTTACTTTAGATTCTCAGCCCCTAGGTTTTGCCTCATTTATTTCTAAACCACAGTCAGCCTTTTAAACTTCAAAAGTTTGGAGCTACATTCATTCATTGATTACTTAGGAATGCAAACTTACATCTCTTTAAGTTCAAAATGTCATATGCCACAGCCTTCATTAGAGAAGCTGAGTGCTGATTTTTATTATTATCACTATCCATATCCCTAAATTTCCTCATTATCTCCTTCAATGTTCTAAGGAGATCTGTCTCTACACAGTTTCACATGACCAGCCAAAGTTGAATATGTGCAGTTGTGAACCTGCCCAGACCTTAAGATCAATGTTAGAAGTGATATTCTCTAGCTCCAAAGCCATGAGGCTGGTGGATACTAGTAGTAGGAACAGGGCTTTCTCTATTACAGATTTTATATCTTTGGAATTCAGTCCCTGGGAAATACAAGTAGCCCTAGATCAGGGGTAGGCAACCTTGGCTCTTTTATGACTCGTGGACTTCAACTCCCAGAATTCCTGAGCCAGCCATGCTGAGGGGAAAGGGAGAGGTTTCCAAGCTGAGCCATGCTGGCTCAGGAATTCTGGGAGTTGAAGTCCACGAGTCATAAAAGAGCCAAGGTTGCCAACCCCTGCCCTAGATTAATGACCACAATTGAGCCAGAATTTCCATTGCTAAGCAAGACAGTTAAGTGAGTTTTGCCCCATTTTACAACCCCATTTTATGACCAGTGGTTAAGTGAACCATTGCTGTTGTTAAGTCAGTAACACAGTAGTAAAGTGAATCTGGCTTTCCCCCATTGACTTTGCTTGCTAGAAGGTCACAAAAGATGATCACGTGACCCTGGGTCACTGCAACCGTCATAAATATGAACCAATTGCCAAGTGTCTGAATTTTGATCACCTGACCACGGGGATGCTGCATTGGTCATAAGTGTGGAAAAACAGTCATAGGTCACTTTGTAAAATGCTGTTGTAACTTCAAACAGTCACTAAATGAATGGTTGTAAACTGAGGACTACCTGTACTATAATTTCATCACTTTTTAATATTTAATATTTCCCACTGCTCTTAATAGTGTCATCTAAATCAGGGGTCCCCAATCCCCAGGCCGTGGCCCACCACTAGGTTACGGCCTATTCGGAACCGGGCTGCACGAAAGGCGGGCTGATGCGCACACGCAGTCCACTCACAAGTTGCTCGCTGGTGTGCATATGTGCACACGGTAGCCCACCACTCACGTGGCCCGCTTCCCCTCCCCCCCCAGCCAAGTCACAAAGGTTGTGGACTGCTGATCTAAATGTTTTCCTTTGCTGCTTGTTAATGTCCATTTTCTTGTGTCCTTTATCCTTCCAGGCCGTTTTTGCATACCCAAGACATGTACTTTGTATTTGTTCAGTTGCTGTCCAGCGGTTCTGCTTGGTTTGCCATAATCGTCATAGTTGTCACTTGCTTATTTCTTGACGTCGTGAAAAAAGTGTTTTACAGACATTTACAGCCCACAAGTACAGAAAAAGTCCAGGTAACTTATGCTTATGAGTTGTTTGATTAACATTTGAGTTATTGGAAAGATTAAATTTTTGAGCGTTTCTCTGGATCTTTGTTGCTATTTTGCCTTCAGTTCTTAATTTACTATAATTCTATGGTGAGTAATTTTTTAAAAAAATCTATTTTCCAGCTTTTAAAATGTAAATTTTTTGTTTTCCTCTTGGTCATATTGCAGTGTAATGAAAGTATTAATAAAGCTAAGGAAGTAAGATTTCTAAAAAAATTTAACTAAGACATGGTGAGATAGTAAATATCCAATGATTCAGTCGTGAACTAATTCCATTCTTGCCACTCAATTGCTTATTTATTAGTAATGAGTAAATATTAACTTAACATCTATTGTAATGATTTAATAATACATGTAATTACTGTTATCAAATGACCTTGGGTTTTGGGGTAGCTATTTTTTTCCAAGATACATAGATTTCTTGCATGGACAATATTTAATATTTACTGTAACATAACCTAGAATAGCCTTCCCCAACCTAGACTCCCAGCAGATGGATGAACTATAATTCCCCAAATTCCCAGCTGCCTGTGGAATTCCAGAAAAGTCTACACATCTGGAGAACAGATACCATTCCCAACATTTCTTTGCTTTTGACAATTGCTTAGAAAAGGGGCTGGTAAATGTTTGAAAACGCAGCAGGTAAAAATACTTCAAGGAATGGGACTGATTAATAAATGTATATTGACAGAGATTAGATCCTGCTGATCGTAGGTTCTTTTTTAAACTTTGGGGAGCGGAGTATCTTAAAAACTGCTCTATAGTTCTGCTTTCCCATATTTGAGTTTATCGTATGATCACTTATTGGTCATCTCTTGTTTGGAGAAAAACACTTTTCCACAGTCTCATTGAGCTGCACTGTAGTGCATTTTCTGGGAGATGTTACGAGAGTGCTGATGGACATTTGGTTTCCATTACAGAATCATTTCAAATACAGTAGAAACTGGCATTTCTGGAATGAGAAAATTCAGCTTTCTCTGTGGTTCACAATAGCCTCAGAGTATAATCTTTGCAATGCATCCTGTATGTTTCATGAGAGCAAAGCATTCTTCATCACTTTATGCTACTTTATGAAAAATGACCATTATTAGAATCATATGCTTCCTTACAAGCTAACATTATGGTAATATTAACCATCACTTAGTTGGACATGCAGTAATCATAAATTCATTCAGCAGAATGAATATGCTAGATCAGGGATCCCCAAACCTGACAACTTTAAGACTTGTGGACTTCAACTTCAATGCTGGCTGAGGAATTCTGGGAGTTGAAGTCCAAAAGTTTTAAAATCGCCAAGTTTAGAGATCTCTGTGCTCGGTCATTCTTCCTTTTTTCACATACTGTAGTTAATGAGTGAAAGTGAAGCGTCTCTTGTTTTTTTAAATGGCAGTTGATTTTTCCTTTGAAATCCACTTATTAGGAAAGCCTATGCCAGGGTTCTGCAACCTTAAACACTCAAAGAGCCACTTGGACCTGTTTCCAAGAGAAAAGAAAACACTTGGAGCCGCAAAACTCTCTTTCCTCTCCCTCCCTTTCTCTCTTTCCTCTCTCTCTCTTTCTCTCTCTCTCTTTCCTCTCCCTCCTCTCTCTCCCTCTCTCTTTTTCTATGTCTCTCTCCCTCTCTTTCTCTCCCTCTCTCTTTCTCTCTCTCTCTTTCCTCTCTCTCTTTCTCTCTCTCTCTTCCCTCCCCTCTCCCTCTCTCCGATCTTCTGCTCACCTAGCAAGGTGGCTTCAGGCTGTTCTCCAACAAGCTGACACAGATTATTGGGCTGGCTCTCTCCTGCCCTTCCTGCTTCTTGCAGAGACGCAGCAAAGGGAGGAGTCCCGCCCAATAAGCTTGTCAGCTTGTCGGAGAATAGCGTGAGGCCACTCTCTTTTTTTACACACGCACACACACACACACACAGGGAGGGAGGGAGGGAGGGAGGGAGGGGGGAAGCTTAAGTGCCTCTCTCGGTCTTGGTCTTGGTCTCTCTCTGCAAATGGCAGAGGAGGCTGGGAGCCACAGGAGAAGGCTCAAAGAGCCACATGTGGCTCCAGAGCCGCGGGTTGCCAACCCGTGGCCTATGTGATACGTTGAATGTCCTTGGATCTGTGCAGGATGCTGTTAGCTGTGCTTAAGACTTCCTAGCAACATTAGGCAGTTGCAGTACCCACTATTACTCCCACAGACAATTGATGTGGTGTGTGCTTTGTTTATCTTGACCAAAACCACAGTGGCTTATATTAAGCAAATAGTTATGAAGAGACAAATGGACACAAATAAAAGGCCTAGGTTAGATTACCTGCTCGTTATCTCCTGTTCCTATGTTTTAAATGTAGCTATTTAAATAACATGGCAATCCTAATCTGTGTTTAAATCTCCTTCCCAATCAACCCTGTGCAGTTAATACCTTTTTTAAAAAAAAAAAAAAATCAGGAATTTCTGTAACATAGAACAGCCTCCCCCAACAAAATTGAAATTAATAGATGAGTGGGGTGGGAGTACAGTCTGAATACATCCAGAGGGTGCCAGATTGAATATCACTGGTATGGGATAACATAAGAGTACTGCTTTAGAGAATGGGACCCATAATGACATCTCTTGAAAGCATGGATCTGAAGAGGGCACTTGCACTTAGAGATAAAGCAAGATTGTTTTTCCTGTTTCTTTCAGGAAGGTGTTTCTGTATGCTTGTAAGCGTTTTATTTTCTTCATCCTCTCTATGATGTGCAGCTCATTAACTTGTCCACGTCGTAGGACTGGATCATGTTGGGAAGTTAATCAAATATATGTGCAGTAATGGAATAAATTGATTAATCTGTATCTGAAAACTTCTGTCTTCTTACTTGACTGAAGATGTTGTAGGTTCCTAAATGTTGCTGAACTAGAACCTCCTCTTCAGTTGGCCAGTCGAAATCAGGGCTGTTGCAAGCTGTACTTCAGCAAAATCTGGAATATTCCATGTTCTCCATTCATGTCTCATTTGACAGATGTCGGCTGTACTGAAATGAGTCCCTGTTTCTAGTTGGATCAAATCTGAGGAAAATCCCCATGTTGTGTCTACCTATATAACTGTGTGCAGCTCCTGAATATAGCTTCATTTTTAAGAAAATGAAATGAATATTTGTTATTGTAGCTTTTCTGCTTCTTTAAGCAAAAGTATTTTGCCATATATATTTTATGGTTCTGCTGAACAAACAACTTCTACTTTTCACTCACTTTCATTGGAGTTTTATTTTTAAGTAATAAGAACTCCAATTTTGATGATAAAGGGCTAGTTGAGATGAAAAATCCAGGTAGAAAAAAATCTAGATTGCCCACTTTAGTAGAGAAAATGATCCAAGAAAAATCTAGGTCCATATAACTGATCTGACTGGTATCTTGAGAAAAAGCAAGGTCAAAATCTTTCTTTTTGACGTGCTACCTTAAACACTTCTTGCAAAATGATTTCAGTACATATACAATATGTGAGAATCTGCTTATGAAGCAGAATAACACCCTTAACCAGGTTAGTGTAAAAACCTTCAGCTGCATTTATACAGGTAATCCTCAATTTACAACCACAATTGAACCCAAAATTTTCGTTGCTGGGTGAGACGGTTGTTAAGTGAGTTTTGCCTCCTCCCTTTACGCCTTTCTTGCCACAGTTGTTAAATGAATTGCTGCAGTTGTTAAGTAAATCTGGCTTCCCCATTGACTTTGCTTGTCAGAAGGTCGCAAAAAGTGACTGTCACAAATAGTTGCCATTGTTGCAATAGTTGACTATGGGGATACTTCCATGGTCATAAGTGTGAAATCAGTCATGACTCACTTTTTTTCAGTGCTGTTGTAACTCCAAACGATCACTGAATGAACTGTTGTAAATCGAGGACTACTTGCACAACATTCTAAAGGGGCAGGGTGTGATGGTGGAGTAGCTCAATCCGTTGTGTGAACTCAGCTGATTTAATTATTAACCACCTTAAGCATCTTGCATGTACCCAGCTAATAACTGCTATTCTCAAGATTTGCTGAGAAGTTTCTGTGCTAACGTTCACAATCATTAATGGTGATAATACAAAGTTCCTATTGAGTAAGCCTGTTATATCTTCAGATTATTTTTATGTAATTAACTTGACCTTCATGGTGAACTAGGAGTCTGGCTTTTTAAAGGCTATTACTTGATTTAGAAAGCCATGGCATTTCTTGTTGAAATTGATACTGAAAGTCTGAGTGGGGATGAAAGGTACCATGCAGAAGTAGTTGTATTCCTTTTAAAAATTAGCTATATGTAAATGATCAATTTTTAACTTTAGAGCAAAAGAAACAATTCTCTGCCTAATTAAATTACATTCAAACAGCAAATCTGTGATCATCTGATTATACTACTACTTTATCTGGAGGGAACAAGATTGGAAAAAGCCAAGTTAGAATCATGTACTCATATAAAAATCAAGGTTTTTTTTAAAGTGTTTAAGAAATAACAAGATTTGATTTATTTATTTTGCTAAGAAATCCCAGTTAAATGGAAGTCCTACTCTATTGACAATAAAAACCTGTGTTTTCAAGACAACCTTTTAAATTACTTTGCATTGTAAATACAACAATGAGTCACACAAGCATTTAAGAAGCCCTTGAACACCAAATTTATTTGCATCTAGTATCTATTTTAAATTTGTACTTAATTGTGGGGAAGTTCCTGAAGGCCTGTTTTGTTTACCGTGTGATGGCTGTTTCTCAATCTAATTGGAAGTGGAAATGCAGTTTTGATTTGACTTTACTATTTTGTATCTTGCTCTCATCTTCTATGCCCGTGGTGGCGAACCTATGGCACGTGTGCCACAGGTGGCACGCAGAGCCCTCTCTATGGGCACGCACGCTGTCACCCCAGTCCTAGGCCTTCAGCTGGATTTTATAAAACCTTTTCGCTTTAGGCCTCCGCCACTATGTGCAAAAAAAAAAAAAGGTTCAATCAATCAATTTCAACTTCTCACGAGGAAAAAAA